TTTAAAGCATTAAAACCTGAAATATTAAAAAAAAACTCTTGTATAATTAATGGTCACTTTAAATTCTCTCTGTTATTAATTTTCATAACGTGTTACTTTAAAAGATATTTTAAAAATAGGATTCATGTTTTGCATTTATTAATTGTATTTTTAAATCTAAGTACCTATTATACTTCGCTTCTTCCAATTATGAGATAGAGTCATTTCAAAATCCTTTTGTGAGAATTTTTTGTTAGCGTGATGATAATAAAATCCTAATAACTCAACACTGTATATTAAGACTCAATAAGAAACTTCTTAATGATTTAAATGAAGCGAAGCAAATTCGGTCACAACTTAAAACAGTTAAAATAGAAATATATTTTTATTCAGTTTTAAAAGACCTACCAAACTTTGTCATTTCGAATCACAAAAAAAATATTAGACATATAATTTCACAGGGACTTATGTCGTTAAGACTTTTAATAACTTTCCAAACGAAATAGATAAAATTCAATTTTAATTTACAGTCAGTATTATTCGTCGACTCGTCAACTTAATAACCTTTATAGAACTTTTTATTCAAATTTAACTCCATTACGGCGATCATCCAAAGAGAAAACTTTTTTTTGCATATAAAACCTCTACATTTGTCATTGGTAGAATGATTTGATAGTCGTCCTTTAAAAACGATTCAGAATGGGGAAGATTATGTAGCTGTGTTAATCTCTGTCATTGTCTTTTTTGTGTTTTTAATGAAACTGTAATTTAAATCTCTGTTTAATGAGTTTCTGTGAGCACATTTTAGGCAACATTCGAGAACATTTTTCTTTGATGTCTCCGTTGACCTTTCAATTTATCTACTTTTGACATACCTTTCGACGATTAACTTAAATTTAAATTTTACCTACCCCCAAAGTAATCCGGTTTGGAGATAACGATGAAGAATTATAAACAGAATCTAATTATAATCGGCTCTATTTGTACTATGAGTTTTAATTATAGAACCGCGTGACACTACTGTGTGTCCTGTGACGTCAGCGATAACATATGTGACTAAGCATAGTAATACTTTGGTCCATTAAAAACGAGATAATCTTCACAAACAAACGTCGTCCGAAAATTCCAGTCACTTTTCATAGAGTTAATGGCCACTTATCGTACGTGCTGTTAGCATTTATCGCGTTCAACCTTCGATAATACACAATGATGTTGGAATTAATAACCATGAAATCGATGAAACTTGATATTGATCGAATGCTATCCACAGCTTGTTTGTTATCAAAGTATTTTGCATCACAGGAAAACAATTGGAAGTCCAATAATGTTAACATATTTTGCTTTATTTCTGGTAAGTAGCAGTTTTCATTTCAAAAATTAATTTTTATATACCTATAAATCATTTCACGCCTACAGCTAGGAATTATTGCTATAATAACAAGTTGGATAATATTAAGTTTCTATTTTCTTTTTTGCTACGAATAATAAAAAAAAAATAGTTTAGAAAGATGTTGAAGTAGCTTCTGCAATAACGAGAATACTTTTTTAAGTACCGAGCATCTTAGCTGCGTGTGCAAATATAACGATAAAACTAAGTGCCATAATAATTTAAATGTAAGACTTAAAATTTAAAGATCCACGAAGTGAAATATTTGTCTTCATAAATTCACTAAATGAAGCGTTTAACATTCGCTTGGCCCCGCAAATCTTGCTAGCGTTATCCCTGTACTTATCAAGGATCAACTTTTTCTGACAAAAAATGAAGCTTACTCCTAAAGTTGCAAACAGCTATAACTTTTAACGGGCGTTTAAGCTTTTGAACTATCCTAACGGGCGCCCTACGGCTTTGTATGAACTGGAGTTGCTTATAATCGTTGATAGCCGTGATCAACTAACAATTAAATTTGTTTGCAAGCTTTTATAAACCATTTATAAACCAAACAACCTCTTAATAAACCAAATGGAGCGAATAAGTCAACTAATCTATAATGTTCGGTAATATGTATCTGAAAGAGCCAATGACATGACTTATGTGAACATTACTGCAAGTCAAAATGGCGTAAATTTAAATAACATACAAATAATACGTATGATATAAAATGACTTGTTTTAGAAACTATGTGTACGCGATACTACGTTCGTATTCGGACAATGCCTTACTTTTATGTTGCCAATTTTGAACTCTATTCACTCTCTCTCTGTTCTGAAAACGCATCATACGTTGTATCGAATTCCCATGGTCTTTTTTGATTTCCATTCCTCGATAAGATAAAATTGGATTAAGCTCATTGATCCAATTAAATAAATTAAACACCGAATCAAATAATGTGTGTTTGGAGAAAAATCTGAAGGTTCCGCGCCAACGTTAATTTTGCATTCACAATGGTATGTTAACAAATATCTTTACCATATCAGCGTGACTGGGACTGGTAATTTTTTTAAGCATTTTGTATTAAACATTATGTAAGTTTTTTTATTAAAAGTCTACTCCATGTTAAAATAAAAATAAATGATAGTGACAATCAAACTATTCTATTCTACTTTTCTATATTATCTCGGGTCTGAGGAAGGAAGCCCAACAAAGAGTCACACTATCTAAATTATCTTAGTTTTACATAACATTCTTATAGGATACATTAGATCCATATAATGTCTAGATAAAATTAGACCCAAATATATACACTCAGATAACGTCTAGATAAAATTCTTTGAACAAAACGATAGCGTGATTTAAGATACACTTAACGCCATTTAGTATAGCAAAGTTAAAATTAATTCAGATTCAATATCATTTATTGAGTTTAGGCTAAGTTACAAGCATTCGTGAATATCGAAAGCTATGCCATCAGCTCGCAAATTTATGGTGGAAGACCTTGTACACCAGGTGGGCCGACAATCTGCCAAAGGCTGCGGGAAGCCTGCTGGATACGGGCAGCGCAGGACCAATCGTCTTGGAGATCTATGGGGGAATGGGGCGTCGGTCGTACTGCTGATAATGATAATTTTGACCTTGTCCTGAGAAGATCCGGCAAGAAACTCAGCAGGGGCTGCTTTTTTCTCTTTGTTGTCCAAATAAAATATTATAGATAGAAGACCAATTAAAATTAAAAAGTCGATTCAATGATGCAGAACCTACTCAATGTACTTACTTATTTTTTTTTCGAGTGTTATCAGTGGACTTAGTTCAAGCATAGTACTTTAAAGCTTACTAAATTCTCAAACTTTTTTCAAAGTTGAAAACTGTAAATTGTGAATAGTTTTTCAAAATTATTGCGATTTTAAAGTTCTTTAGTTAGAACGACTTTTATCCCTGAAAACGGATTAAAAGGGAGCGTACAGCCAAGTGACTACTGTCCTTGTCAATCTTATTAAGGCAATGAAATAAGGATAGAAGATGAAGCGTTGCGTGGTGAAACTGTTTTTAATTAATTAAGTGAGACAAAACTATATAAAAACAAGAGCAGTTTCCCGGATTGCAAAAGACCATGGGTTCGAGTCCTATCTCAGAGTGTAAGGGACAAATAATAATAATATAATCTTTATTGCACACAAACAGACAGGAAAACAGAACGCAATTACCTACACGGTAAAACAATACAGAGTACACAAAAGGCGGCCTTATCGCTAAACAGCAATCTCTTCCAGGCAACCTATGGAGGAGAATAATAATGGAAAGGGAAAATATGAGCTATTGGGTGCAATAGTCAGAAGGATATGATAATCTTTACATATAAAATAAGAAAGTATAATTAGTAACGTACAAAGTGAATTTTTTAAGCATTTTTCAGTAATAAATTTATTTATATATTTTTTTTAATTAATAAAGAAATAGAATATTCTTTATATAAAGAAATTTTTATTCATGAACCCTAAGATTATGTGAAGTAGCTTTCTGATTTTTAACAGAAACTTTTTTGGACATTATTTCGATGTAGTACAAAAATATGTAGATAGTGATCTTAAGTTTTTTTCTTTTATTTTTATTTCAAAGTTGTTAGAAATGATTTAAGTGTAGAAACGGAATAATAGTTTTTTTTTTATTCCCAATCGTGATATAATAATAATTTGTTTACTTTTGGGGCAAATTGGAATTAAGCCAAATAAATGCTAAGCTATTATAATAATCGTTCAAAGCGAAAATCTTTGATACGGACCTAGAATTATATGTACACACACTTGCACGTCAGTTTACCATAATATATCACATTTCTCGTAATGATTTTAAACTCTTCCTACAAAACATTAATATGGAAACATTTGAAAGATTTGTATAATCTGATGTGTTGTCGAGGTCGCAAACTGATAGAAATGTTAAACTTTATAAGAACAGCCACCGCGCCCTCGGGTGTCGAGTTTGCGCCCTTAAAATGCTTATTTGCTTATTTTCAAAGAGTTCTAACTTATTTTATTTAGGCCAAACGCTTGAACGTCAAACACGTGGAAACTTTCGTTTCAGAAGTAAGTGGAAACTCCCATTCCCAAGAGAATTTATAAAAGAACTTTTAAATTGTGAAAAAGCTTATTGCAGTCTACATTATTTTGGACATTCCGCAATATTTAAAATAATGTGCATTCTCTGCGCGGTATGTGGTTACTAGACTGCTCTGTTCTTTGACTTTAAGCTACTTGTAATATGGTTATCTGAAACAGCTGGTATATAATTATCTGAGAAATGAATAGTCGTTTTGGTATGAATGAAAGGAATATATCCCTTTCATTCATACTCACTAAAACCAAAACTACTATTCATGTCATGTTGACAGGTTTGATTGCAACTTTTCGTTGCGAAAAAACTCAACTCGATATTATTTGATTTGATTTTATAGTTGAAACTGAAATTGGTTATATTTTTACTATTTCTTTACAGATAGGGCCACTAACCGACATACGATGGAACTTGCCCAGGCCGAGGCTGCCGCCAAACAGCAACATCGCCATACACGTCACTCCACCCGATGGAGAAGATGACGAATTTGTGCCTCCGCTACGAGCACGAAGAAAATTTAGCACCCCCCTAAGTTCATTACCTGCCGAGAGCTTTCTTGGTATTTCAAGTAAGACTATTCTACTTTTAATGCGAGAGCTATGGTAAAAATATGCAAGAGTTTTGTGTTAGTTCATAATTATTAAAAAACCATGTCTATTTTTATAATGTTTTTATAACGACTATTTATTCAAATTCGTGTATTTACTTGCACATTTTTTGTATCGATCATATATGAATTATTAGCAAATTTTTTTTTAAATTCTTCAAGCAAGGAAAATTTATAGATACGACTACGACGCATATTTGTTTAAAAATACTGCTTAATCTGAAATTATTTTAAATAGATTTTCAAATAATGAAATAGTCATCTTATATGTTGTACATAATATTTTATCTTCTAAAATTGAATTAACTACTAATAGGAAGCTACATTAGGCGAATGAGCAACACAAACATATATGTTTCTTCATCATGGATTTACAGATTCGAGACATACTGCATCATCCCGTTCGCTTTCTCCGCTGGATCGGACCAAAAGGCGATTCAGCACAATGGTATCCAGTGCTGCAGCAGCTGTTGTCTCCCGGCGGCTATCTGCCACTATAGGATGGTGCCTTGCTACTCCCACACAAGTTAAACCGCAAATCGTCAGACAAGGGCGTGCTTTATGCATGCAGTACATCAAGACTCAAATACGCCGATCATCTATTTGTACGCAAAAGGTAGGGATGATAATCATTTTCCTTGCTTGTAGCCTTAGTTTATCAATCAAAATTGATGGGTCGATAAGATAGACGATATACAAGCGCACTTTTATTGGTCGATAATATAGTCGATGTTTAAGGAAGGATATAGGGGGATAATGATGTCATAAATTTACATTGGTCGTCATTGCTTTATAGAACCATTAGATGAGCGTACAGAGGTAGCCCGCAGTCCGCGTGCTGGCCCTATCGGCTAGTGTAAATACGCCATTATAGAAATCAATAGCCGATAGAGCAATCGTTATCTCTTGAGGGTCTTGTGTAGTCCCCGCATGGTATAATAATAAATCAATAATTAGCAATATCACATATTCAGATTTCAGGATAAGTAGCTAAAGCCACCGTATTATTGAGTGACTTAACAACGAAGGTAGCACCCAGACCTGGAAAAAATATAGAAAAGTTATTTTCCTACATTGACCCGACCGGAACTCGAACACGGATCCTCAGAGATGACGGTACCTTAAAACTGGTGTGTGAACCACTTGGCTACGGAGATCGTTACGTTTTATAATATGCGTTACGAAGATCTCCTGCCCGTTTACGTGGGCTAATGAAAAACTCCTCAAATGTGAGCTCTGTGCCATTGCGTTTGAAACACCCTTATTTTAAATCCTCAGACAGTTTTGTTTTAAAAAAACAGGAAATAATTCTCTTAACAAAATATTTTTGTATCATTTCATATATTCATTTTCTCTTCTTCTGTATTTGGATATATAAAATTTCCAGCATCTAAAATTCTAAACCAGTATAAATTGTTGGTTCTTCGTATACCCGATATTAGATAGTGATATTTAAATAATGAAATTTGTATTATTTTTATTTTAGTAAATGTAAAGAAGTCACGTGATTTGAAATCTATAAATGATTAATTTGTTTTGAGTCAACATTATAAAATATATCATTCTCCTGACAAAGATCAATTTTAACGAGACATGATATTTCAATTTAGCTTATAAACTTTTGGCTTTTATTTGAAAATGGAACGTTGGATACTAATATGAAAACGGTACTTATTTTTAATTTCAAAATAACAAACCAGTGTCGACTTCGACAAAAAAAAACTCCATTTTGTACATATATAAAAAGAACGGACCAAAAACTCCTAATGCATTCGCTTTTCAAAACTTAACGACGTCTGTACAGCTTGAAAACAACGCACCTATGCATTGTTTTCAATGTATCTCCATCTATGATATCCTAAATTCGATTCTCGGTTGGGTGAATGTATAAAATCAACTTTAATTTTTTGAATACATGGACTTTATAATTAAATATTTGTGATGTTGTCTATGCATTTATTATTTATTCTGCTAGGACCAATGTTTTTACAAATACTCGCAATACACAAATATAATAATGGGTATCAGATGACCAGAGTGTATGTTGTAAGACATCTAAGGTAATCAAATAGAATACGATTTTCTTTTCTTCCGCATAATGGCTTAAGACATTTAAGTCACATAAAAAAAGTTTTATACTTTCACTTCAAATTTTCAGGATAGCTATTCTCTTTTTTTTTCGTCCCATAAAAAATCTTTTTACGAACTTTTTAAACTGATAAATTATGAAATTACTACTAAAATGTACCATGCAAATTAGGCATAACAACGTAACATAAACAAGGCAGGGAAAATTATCTCTTCTATATTGTTTTGGGTCTGGATGCTTATGGTAGTGTCCTTAACACAGAGGATTCCGCAATTTACTCGGGATCAGGACAATTTATTCTAATATCACGTGCACATGTAACATAGAGTTAGACCCCTTATTAGTCAACCTTTGGGAAAACAGAAAAACACGAGGGCGGCCTACAAGTGATCTTACATTTAACAATTCTTAAAACTAAACTACTATCAAGTTCATACATATTCTTGCCACATCTATTTAACACGTAATAGCGATTGCAATCGCAACTTTTTAAGATATTGAATGTACGATATCGCTAGTTTGACGTTCTTTATAATTGACTAACGGCCGGTTTCTGAATTGAGAAAAGCAAAAAAGTCTCAACTGATTATTCTCAATAACTTTTTTTTACGTTTCATATGACAAACTGTCAGTTGCACAAACATCCATTAAGATTTAATTACGCCTTTAAGCTCTAATGTAATAATAAATTTGTATGGGTAATGTCGCTTTAAACTAATGACAATATTAATGGACGTTTGTGCAACCTGCTGAAAGTCTTACTTTTATCAAATTGCTATCAACTGATCTTGAAAAATATAAATCAGTAATGAAAACCTGTTTAAAAGACGTTTAAAATGGCTTCAGCACGGTTTGAGACGTGCTCAACTGCAGATTCTCAATTCAGCAACCGGGTGTAAGACAAGCGGTAGTCACGAATATCTTTGAGAGCTATTGATAAATGGCAAACAAATGCAACTGCAATCTTTCGACGGTTTTTATGGTCTTTCTTCATCAATCATATCATTATTTGTGCCAAAAGCAATTGCAACTTTAAACGTTACATAATTCCATAAACCGCTATCATAATAAATGGATTGCGATAAATTTTGAAATTACATAATTAGCCCACAGCATATTTAGCTCGATTTCTACATAAAATAAACCCTTTGAACCTATATTAAGATGAAACTCACTGCTGAAAACTGTGAAGCTATGTAATAACGACTTCCTCCATAAATAATTAATCGAGCCATAAATACAGCCTTTGATAGCATCACTAATTGCAATGTAAATTCAACTTCGTGATTTTCATGGAAATTTATAACGGGAATTGTTAGTAATTTAGGTGTTATAATGAAGTATTAAAACGAAATAAAACTATACAATTGTGATTGTATTACACTACAGAAGAGAAAAAATCACACCTACGCTAATTTTCTAAATAACAACAGCAGAGCGACCATTCTCTCTTCCGTAAACGTTTATTGATTTTATTATTGAACTTTTTTTATATTTTCCTGTTTTATTATATACGTTTTGGTTGTAAAAGATTTCTGATTTGTATTGAAATCGACAAAATTAATAAAAGTTAGAATTTGCATAAACAAATCTAATCCAAAAACTGAAATCATATAAAATTGTTGAATTAAATATTATTATTGATAAAAAATTACGACCTACGTAGCCGAGTGGTTCATATCAGATTCAAGGTGTCACCATCTCTGAGATCAATGTAGAAAATTGACTTTTATATATTGTCACGGAGCTGGATGTTATGGTACCTTCGTTGTCAGGTACCCCATAATACGGGGGGTTTAGCTAACACATCTTGAAGTATTTATTTTTATATAGTTACAAAGGAATATCGAATGAACACATTTTTGTAGCTATAGCTAGGTATAATGAGAGAGTTAGGCGATCGCTCCCCGGGGAGGCGGGTATGTATACACAAGGTAATAATTTCACTAAATAATTTTTTCATCAGATAATTGTCATGAAACGACTGCAGCAAATGCTAGAGACTGAATGCGGAGAAGAGGCCACCATCAACATGGAAACTGGAGTGCTGGCGGCATTACGCGCTCTTTGTGCAGCACTCGAGAGGAAACGACCCGAAGCCTTCCGCCATGTTGCGCGCCAAGCGACACGAGCGCCATCTGCTATGTTGCGTTCGGAAACAGCCTTATCGGAACTTGCACTAGCTCTAGCTCGACGAATAACTAGAGAAAATATCACTTGGTCTAAGGTAAGAAATACGCTTATACTTTTGTGACTGAAATTCTCTCTATGTTCCGCGACAGCGTTGAGGTTTTACAATAAATCCTAATTCATTGATTTAATAGTAGCCATAGTAGTGAATACTACAATTTTATACATTGTTCAAAATTATTTTTTTAACGAACAGTACTGACTTCAGAGAATCAAAACTGCCAGTATTCGATTATTTGTTTTCAACATCTTTGTCTTTCTACCCTTTCCCAATTTCTAAAAGGAATAACTTTCACATAAGTATACTTATTTACTTTTTTATTTTATCATAAACTTTACAGATACCTAAGTAAAAGTTTACGCGCAAACTTAAAGGCTAAAAGTCTTAGACTGTACGACTTCTAAATCTCTTTTAACTTTCTGCACGTTGTCTTAGTATTTAAACAAATTTTAAAGCACTGTTTTTTCTTTAAATATACTTAAATAACGGTGTATACTTAGGTATCTCATTTTCTATCTAAACAAACGAGAACAGATAGACAAATAGCACCACAGAAGTAATGGACGGTATACACGAGGCCAAAAGAGAGACAATCCAGTAAAATTAGAAATCAGTTTCATTGAATGGGCTTGAATACTGGTTTTAGAATTGTCTCCGTTTAAACGGAGTGTAAGGTTAAAACCTTACAAGAAAATAGTTGAGTTATAGAGTTCGTTGATTTAAGAGTTTGCATTCACTGGGTTAAACCGTTTGAGTTTTAATTGAAATATATTTTGTAATTTATCCAATTATAATAAAATTATTGTTTGTTCGTTTCTTTACAAAGTTACTTGAATTTAAAGTTTGAGTTTATTGAATTGATCGAGACGTGTACTTGAGTCGTTGCGCGTTATATGACAACTGTCACTACTGTGACTAGCTTACTGGATTAACTCGTCTATTGGCCTCATATAAATGGATGAAAGAAATAGAGACATTTCTATATACATCCTAGCTGTGGATGGCCACTAATAACTCGCCATATACTGAAAGAAACAGTTTATATACGGCTCGTGCAAGCCCTCAATTCCGCTATTTTTTACGTAATAATGCATCTAAATAGAATGTCAACTAATTGTATGCATTTTGCCATTCTATAAATATAGAATATTGTTATGGCAATGTCTTCATCACAAATCAATGGTGATAGATATATTTATAATCTCGTGATCTTGTAACAAAACTTTGTCATAAAAGATGTAGTAAATTACCAAAACTTTTTACATTCAGCTCGACAACTATTTGACTACTATATATGGCATAGAATTATTATGGGGTGTTTAAGCACATGGCATAGACGTTTACGTGACATTCACTAATCTGTCATTGCCATAACATTCGCACTGTGTTGGCTAATGCGTTGAGCGACATAAAAATCATAAAATTTATAGCACTCTTCCATAATAACTTGTTCTATGTAAAAAATAATTTAACACTAACATACATTATGTGATTGACTATTATTTGTATTCAAGTAATTATACGTTTTTTCTAAATGTACTTAGTTCATCAATTAAAAGTTTCCTGTAATAATAAATTTCTTCTGAAATCGGGTAACTAAGTATGTAACATCAATTAATAATGTTACATCTAGCTGGCAAATGCCTAATGCGACAGGGAACTAATTCTGGGAATAAACTAAGTCTATGAAGGAGAAATTCTTAGAAAGCTTAATTTGACGAAACACAATACCTCCCTATATACAGCGATTTGTGAAAGAATCAGACTATTTTAAGTAAAATAAATTAACTTTTTTTTTTAATATTTAATTTGATATTAAGTTGACGTGATTAGGATATAAAATTTATTTATGTGAGATATTATTTTTTTTATATACCAATGAATGAATTTACTCCACCTTATCTCAAACAATATCTCTCTTCTCTCTTATATATTCATCCCATTTTACACTACGATCGCTTCTAATCTCACCTTCGAGATTTCTCGTCACAATGGGTACTGATTTCTTTTCCAATTCCTTTTCTGTGCACGCTGTTAGTGGAACTCTCTTCCAAATAGTATCAGGAAAACGCGCTCACTAAATATTTGAAGCATCTTATTCAGACTGTTCTATACTCTTATTATAAAAAGGCAACGTTTCTGACTTTATTTGTTTATTTTGTAGAAAGTAATTTTCAAAAATGCTGATCAGATCATGAAAACTCTTTCACCTAAGGGAAGCTGCATTGTCATGAGGCGCGAGGTCCTTAGCACCACTAGGCAGTGGACGGTAGCCCATACCGCCCACGACTTATGTCGCCTCTGCCAACTCCAAATTTATTTCATTGTTAGAAACATTACTTCCCACTATAATCTAATATCTCCTTGGTATAATTGTACTGTTCTTATCCTCTATATAATTGAATATTCTAAGAATTAGTCCTTTGTTAAGTCGTGATATTTCGGTCATATAATGGATTCAATAACAACAAAGATTAAGTTATGGTAACAAGTCAAGGGTAATTGTTTCTACCCCTATACATAATGAGACCACGTTGTGCTGTGCTACTGTATGTTATGTTAATTATAGTAAGTTAGAACCAAAGAGTCTTCAAAACAGTCTGCAATATCGGATATCGATTAAAGTACCATTCCTTCAGAACAGTAGGTATTTATTATAGTATTAGCTCTTAAACATTTTAATATTTTAATTATATTTAAATATTTGATGTTTAGACTCTTCTCTTTTAGGCTCTGAATATTTGTTTTGTCGAAAAAAGAGCATTGCTTATTCAATTTAGTTTATAAATAAATTATTAGAAACTTCACCCAGGCATTCAAGATCGAATTCGAATCCAAACTTGTCGGAATCTAGGTGACTGCTCTAATCATTGAACTACCATTAAAGATCCAATAAAAATGACGAATTTTAAACAAGAATATTTTCTCTCTCTACTAGTAAGCGTATTTTTCATCAATGTTAAGGCAATCAACAACTTGAGCTCCATGGCACAGTTAAGTTGCTATTGTAATGGCCGGTCATGGGATGGCTGACAAAATTTTTATATCTCGAACTTCTCCGAAAGGCACGCTAAGCCGTTGGTCCCGGCTGCATCTGCAGTTGTTAACACCCAGTACTTCGTACTGGGCCTCTGCCCACTATACAATTCGATTTACATATTAATAGGCCTAAGCCCCAGCTGTAATATTAATAGGTTAGTGATGATGAAAGTAAGCGTATTCTTCATCAATGTTCAGACAATTAAGAACCGATCAAATAAATTAGCTTAATTATTTTTGTTATTTGTTTTAGATAGCAGCTGTTTTTTGTATATGCGGTGCCCTTGCCAAAGAAGCGGCAGAGGCAGCTGAAGGTGAACCAGCCCTCGAGTTAGTGACAGCTCCAGCAGCCGCCATAGCTGATCTCTTGCATGAAGAACCTGGCTCCTGGATCGCTTCCCATGGTGGCTGGGTATGATAATCATAATAGACAAAAGTATTTTCTTGGCGCAATGTTTTAATAGTGTCTTAAAAGAACGAGCCATGTGCGTGTCCTATTCACGAAGGGTTCCGTACTATAAACATAATAAATATGATAGTTTTTCTCTTAACTTTAGGTAATGGTACCATGACGTTTGATTTCTAACAAGTTAGTTGTTTAGAGAGGGGTACACTTAACTCTAAAGAAATTTGTAATTTTTAAGCTTTCAGCGAAAAATGGTTCTCCCACGCCCCAAAAATTTTGGATGACTCAATGATTTTTAGCTAATCCGTTGACGGACGGACGACCAGACAGGCAGACGGACGTGACAAAATTAAAAGGGTTCCTTATTGCCTACCGAACCCTAAAAACTCTAAACACTTAATGCCATTCAATAGTCTTTACCAGAAAAAAATATAATTTGACGACGAAAATAAAATTAAATAACTTTGAAATGAAATTCTTAGATATCATTACACTTATTAAAACAAGATTAGTCGTTCTATTGAAGTTTAATAAAATCAATATCCACTTTATAAAGTCGAGCAATTTTCAACGCAAATAAATTTTGCTTTTTTAACTTGAAAACTTGTGTTTACCTAAAATAACGTCACTATCAGTAATTTATTTTAGTTTTAAAAGGAACAGTATACAAAAATAAATTATTAAACTTACGTTTATAAGTTTTGAGATAGGTGATAGTCGCGCTTAGTACTTTATCTATATGTTTTCCCCGAACGTAATCAACATATAAAACTTAACATAACCCCATTCAGGCGTGAAGGACTGGTAACCCAAGACAGATTTAATAAAAACCCATAAAAAACTGTCACCTATACCTTCGACCTTCCTTTGACCACAGATTTTATTTCCAATCAATATTATCTTTTTGCCTTTTCCCTAATCTTAATGCTAAAGATTGAATTGTTGTAGTCTTTTTTCCTTCCAAACTCCTAAAGCACAACTTGTTTCAAAAAATATAACCGATTTCAAACTTTTAATAAGTGATGAATAATACTTATCTCAAAAGTGACTCATTCAAGAAAATGTTTCATCTCGCCTATCTATCTACATAAGTACTCTTTCAAAAAACTATATTGATGAATTTAAAAATAATAAAAATCAATGCTAGTAAAGAAATATTATATATTGCAGGTATTTAAAGCTTTTAATGGATAAAGACTCATTTGTAATAAACCTCAGTGGTCGGTCGTTTAAAGCTTCGGAATATCTGTGATTCTATCCCTTCCACTTACATGGTTATCTGTCTTTCCCGATTATCAAATTTACATTCCTGTTCAAAGCCAAAAGTAGTCCCAAAAGTTTGAATGTAATAAATACTGAATGCATTATGTAAACAAATTGAACCGTCACAAAGGTATAAAATAATTTAAATGTTGAGTCGGGCAATTCATTCATCCATCATGCCTACGTGACCCCACAGCCGTCCCTCCTCTACGTTCTTGGGAGCGCACCCATTTGGTAACCACAGTTTGTTTCTATTTGTTCTGTGGTTACTATATTATATGTGTTAGTGAATGAAAGAGCACTATAAAAGTCATCCGTTTTATTTATTTTCCATCAGCATCACCTAATAATTTGGCAATTTGTAACAGTAATAGAAGTCGGCACTTTAAGTTATACCCGTAACAGCAGCACTTATTGTAACAATATAAAGCCGTAGATCATTGGTAATTTTTACTTTAATACGGCTAAACCAAGTTTTTGATAGTTAAGAAAGACTCCTTTAGTTTTTAAGAAATTAAAAAGAAGTACCTACCTAAAATTTGATGTAAACCATAGTCTATATATGTAATTCATTGCACGGAGGCAATATGTCTCTGATGTGGATAAGCTCAATAAAAATATAAAATTCCCCGCCAAAATGCCAACCTGTAACATGTTTGATTTCTTGAGCTAATCTATTACCTATATTACAATAAATTTGAATTTATAAACGCAAATAAATATTAATAAACCTATTTATATTTTCAGAACGGTCTCATCGAACGGCTTCGTGCTAGCGAGAGGGATCAGAATTCCGAAAAAACCCTTCGAGTGTTAGTTTCCTTCTTCGTAGTGGTTTTTTTCACCCTACTGTTCTTACGCTGGATGATACACGGACATCCTGCGTATTATAATAATAAATGATGTTACGTGCTATCTTTAATGTATCATTGAGAGGCTCGTGAGCAATCTCGCGATGTGGATACACGCCTTTAAGTATAATGCCTATCAATAAAAGTTAAGAAGTATATTTGCTCCCTTTGAACAGACGAATAAATATAATTAATCGTTTTTAAGGTGATCATGACATTAGATTTTTTACATTACTTACTATACAGTCAAACTACACAAAATTGTTAATGTTCCCCATTCGATTTTAAACCTTAATGCATTGAAGGTAGATATCAAAATAGCTAATATCATTAAATTATAATGAGTAACGTTCAATAATATCGAGGTGCTGAACATATTAAATATTAAAAAACATTAACTTGATTTCAGTGCCAATTCTGTTTCGCAATTTTGCAATTTCTGTTTTTAATAAATTCATAATGAAGTACCTCCCCATAACTTGTGCCTATATGTAACCAAAACATATGCTTATTATACCTATATATCTTCAACTTTAAACCCAGTTCACAGAAATAATTAAAAAATCAAACATAGAACAGAGATCGTGACAAAAATGTCCAAGAGCTTTATAGGTGGCGGTGAGGGCGACATGAAACAAACTTCTAGCGATTGCTGTATATCTTTATTACGTTAAATAAAAATCTGAGTATTTTTTTACGGACTGACTACTAACTAATTAAATAATAGATTAACTTTCAACCAAACTCTTCTTGGAGCTCACCAAATTCTGAGATCTGCTGAGTGACCCCGGCCGCGTTTCACTATGGTGCACTATATATGGTATATAAAATAGTAGATACTTTTTTATGTTAAAATAAGTTTAAATTTTAATCTATTATAAAGCACCTTTACATTGCCCCGCCGGTCGCTACCAACAAGTTCTCCCAGCACCTGACCTCCGCACTTTAAGCTGAGTGACATATACTACCCATAGTACTTCAACGTACTGAAATATGAAACTTAGGATAGATCTCGTATATTTTTGTCACAACTCTTAGACTATTAATATAGTATTATGAATGTAGCAAAACTATTATGTAATTTATGACGTTACTCAATATAGTATCATTACCTGTTTGATTTTGTGTACATATTTATAAGCCTTTTAATTTGAAAGTTAATAACTTAATAACTAAGAACCCAAGTAAGTACAATCTATTTTTGTAGTGAAGTTTCATTGAAGTAAGTAAAAGACTCCGACCATAGATAAAGTATATAAAAGTGTCAATATAATATTGGTACCTAATATATTTTGTAAAGGTACGAGTAATATTTATTACTGATACTTTATTCGCTTCTGTTCAATGGTCCGCAGAATCTGATTTATATTATTTTAAATATCCGAAATATAATATAAATCTCTCTATAATCTGGATAAGCTTTTATGGTAGATGTAGGTATGTATCTATTTACATACATACTTTAAACTTAGATATAAACAGACCCAAAGATGTTACAATTTCACAAAAACTGATAAATTTAGGTGTTTAAGTTCAGTTAAGTAATATTTTTATTTATTGTAAAATTATAAAACATATAAAAATAAACTGATGCTACTGTAAACAAATCTATTCTTTTATTTAAAAACTAGCTGTAACCCGCGGTTTCGACCACGTGGTCCGAGGGTATCGTGTGCACACTAGCCTACTATACTAGAGTTTTAAACTATTCTTAATTAAAAATCTGCCAGTAAACATTCACCTTTATATCATCATCATTAGCAGTATCCTCACTGCTGGGGCATAGGCCTGTACAATAGATAGAATCAACCAAGAAAAAAATCCGGGTTTTTCTGTGGATAATGCGCATGTCTTCATATAATAATCCAGTTGCTTTTCTTTCCGTTTTGGTGCATAGTAGAAACAACACACCTTGCAAAAAAAAACAATGTTTTCTTTGAGTAGTCGTTTAATAATTACGCCTTAATTTTGTTTGGAGATATTTGGCTACTGTGCTTATTCTGGACTTTTAGATAAGGGCTTTCATTTTAAGCATTTAAAACAACTTGATGTTTTAACAAAATAAATACTTTATTAATATTATTATTATTTTTTAGATTCTACGCCTGATCTTCATAACAACCTGATGGTCAGTTTGTTCTTGCTTTTTCAATTCAGCATTTTCAGAGATTTTAGTGCGTGGCGACAAATAAAATTTTGGCAATGGATATTCTGCCATGTGTTAATTGGGTTCGTCCACTCAGTTTTTTTTTACCTAATTTTTTTATTTAACTTTGATACTTTGAATTTTAGTTCTTATTTTAGAGAAAACTGTTTCCTACCATAGCTCATTAACGACAATTAAGTACATTTTTCGGAAACATAATTTAACGGCCCTCGATTATGTATTAAAGTATTTCGTTAATAGTCACCCATGTATTATTATTTAATCCGATGAATAATTCTCCATTTTAATACATATATTAATAACAAAAACCGGACAAGCACAAGTTGGACTAAAAAAACGCATAAAATCACGTTTTTTTCATGTTTTTTAAAGGAGTCGTTCAACATTTTCAAGTCGACAATTACTTATAAACTCGTAAAGCCAACTTAAGTCTGATAGTTCCTCTATTAAATACGTTATATAGGTATAAATACTACTACTGTAATGTTTGAGTTTCTAACATCAACCGTTTAGTTGGTGGAGAGAAGGGGACATTTGAACCTAACGAAAATGAGCACTTTGAAGCTTAATAAATCACTAACGGTTAACTTAATCGAAAGACGGTCTTCCCACATTCAACAATATCCTCGCTAAAAAGAATGGGAAGATAAAACTATTTTTTTCTTCCTCAACTTTACATGCAGGGGAGATACCAGAAAAAATAATTTAAAGATTATACTTATACCATTTTGTCAGCGTGATTAAAGTATACACTCATGCTAAAAAACATATGCATTGGTGTTTGGTATAGGAGGAACAGAAAGTCGAATATTTTTAATATAATATATTTATTTAATCAAAGTATAAACCATTGATGTCTATGCACTTATGCCATCTCATAGGTAGAACTACCTATTATCTTATTGATCCCCTTACTAAAATAACCATTCGGACGGGAATCGATAAAATTTTTGAAGGCGATTTGCACTGCCCCATTGGAGTTGAATTTTTGCCCTTGCAAGAAGTTATCCAAATTTCGAAAAAATGGTAATCTGTTGGAGCAAGGTCCGGGGAGTACAGGGGATGTCTTAGACACTCCAATTAAAGCTCTCCTAATTTGGTAGCCGTCTGTTGTGCAGTGTGTGGTCTAGCGTTGTCGTGAAGTAGCAGTGGCGTAGAGCGATTGACCGGCCTCGGTTGTTTAACAGCTAGTTTTTCCAGCATGATTTGCAATTGCTGACAATAGACGTCTGCCTTAATCGTCTGGCCAGATTCGAGAAAACTGTAATGAACGACACAGGCACTAGTCCACCAAACGCGTACAAGTAACTTTTTTGGCGTCAGTTTTCGCTTGGGGTAGGATTTGGATGGCATGCCAGGATCCAACCATTGCGATGAGCGCTTCCAATTATCGTAAAGAATCCACTTTTCGTCACAGATAAATTAGATTTATAAACTCATAATTATTGTTCCGGTTAAGTAATGTAACGCAGCAGTCGAAGCGCGTTTGCCGGTTTGCTTCACTCAATTCGTGAGGTACTCACCTTTCAAACTTTTTAATCTTTACAATTTACTTCAAGAGGATTAAAACAGTTTTATCACTAACACCGCATCTAACTTGGACGTGGTTTGCGATGGATCCACGTCCACAATAGCCTTCATTTCTTCATTATTAATGTTACGAGCTGGCTAGGAGGCCGGTGAGATATTTTTAGAAGTCTATTTTTTTGTTGATATTTTATTCTCTTTATTTTGTTCTTTCTGCTGTCATCTAAGTTAGCTGCGTATTTAAGTTTGTATATATTTTAATTATTATTTTGATTATATTATTTCCTTGACTTTGAGCCCTTTCTTTTCATCCAACTCCTATCACTGCTACCTATCTGTTATAATTAGCTTGGGTCTCCGGCCGTCTTCGGGGTTTGTTCTGCAAGTCGAAATTTCTAGAACGAAAACGTTGGAACCAAAAACGCAATGTGTTTTCTTTTGCGACACAACCGCCATACACATCATTAACCGTTCGAGTCATTTCCGCAGCACAGGTACCACAGTGGAACTCTTGGTCGTAAATAACACGATATTTTAAGTTTTCCATTTTTATACAGGGTGACGTAAATAGGACAAACAGAAGATCAAAAAACAAATTAATGCCGCCTAACGAAACACAAATACATATGCAAATGGCTTTATAAACTTGAATTTTGGAATTCCCAACCAAGGAGGAAAAATTTGTGATTAAAGTGCCCAATACGACAAAACGCCAATTTCATATACCTAATATAATAGCAACAAAACTAACATAACTAGTTATTATTGTTTTAAGAAATCGAGTTTCATTTGCGTGGCTAGAATGACGTTTGTGCAAAATATAACGTGCAAATAAGTTTTCCTTTCGTAATTAAGAAGTAAAAACATACTATAATTACTTTTACTTTACTTTACAAAGATACGTACAGTTATTATACTATCGCTACTGAACTTGCATGTCGACGGCAGACGTCGAGCCAGGTATTATGTTAATTCGTACGGTAGGTATGTGCTTTTTGGTTCTTACAATAATATTGACAATAATAGATTGACTTTCTACTCAACCTACTCTAGAAATCAGTTTTATTGAAATATATTACTTATTAAGTACTTAGAGTAGTCATACGGTGGTGTCGTGTGCGTCGGGTCGTTACGTTCCTTCAAATATAGATGAGCGAAGCGATGACTGACTCATGTGTCAAGCTCGTCAACGGGTGCTGTCGGGTGAGTCTGCACTGGACTACTTAATTTTGTCAATTTTCTTATTATATTATGAATATAGTATGTCGATTTGTCAATGAGTATGTAGGATTTCTGATGTTGTAATGGAAAATGACTTCATAGTTTAATTAAATCACATTCCAATAGACTTCTCTGTGTAAAATAAAATAGGGAGAAAAAGATAACCCTTGCTGAGTTTCATGCCAGTTCTTCTCAGTACAAGATCTCTCGCCTTAGTTTTGCGAACCGTTGGCAAAGTTTTCGACTTTCACAAGTACTATATAACGCCTAAACTGAATTAATGTTGATATTTACATTAATATAATTCGACGTGTGAATGTATAATGGCACATATGGAGATACCGCACATACAAAAACAAGCTGAATTCAGCGCTCCGCTTTTTGTTTTTGATTCCAAACCTAAATTCGGATGAATCGAGTCAATCGAAGTTAGGAGCAACCAATAAGTTGACTCATCACATCACTAACCTATGATATACTATAAACCAAACATCGTTCATTTATACGTAATATAATAAATTACCTAAAATTACGATTCAAATAAATTAAAATTAATTTGAAAATTAGATAATATAAGAAACACGAAACGATGTCATATTTATTAATTTTCGATACTCAATTTACTTTTATTACGTCAGAAACAAAATTTGAATGAATATCATAGACAAGATCCAAACATCGCTGATGACATCTAGTTTGATTTCAGGAACTAATTTTACTTTTTAAATACGTCCTCATTGTAGTCGTTTCTTACTTTATGGTTGAATCAATCAAGGATGAAACTTGGATAGATTCGTTTCTTGTTTATTTATCAGCAACCTATCAAAAATAGGAAAATATTAATTCCGTTACTGAGGGTATCCCTGATAATTTTATCTCAGGAACGTAGAAGTTGATAAGCATCCGTAATCAATGCCCTACATTTTGATAAGAGGGAATCTTGCATCGTATGGGCATAAAAACCCGTGGCGTGTTTTGGTATCAGGCTTGAAAGGTAAGTGCTGTAGCGTTTACTTAAATTATTTTGATAATGTAATATTTAACCCGTATTTGAGAACCAAATTTATTTAAAGTGCGTATTACTTATAACTAACGCTTGCTTGTATGTAGCTGGCGACATAGAGCAGCTCAAAAGATTTGCCTGTGGAGGATACTGCGACGACTCCACTATTGTCTACCTACAACATCCCTGTGTTATTTTAAGTGCGTTAGAGGTAAGACAGTATGCCTCTAACCACATTTCACTAATTATGTACCTACCTGAAATATATAATGAATGACTCATACTCTATACTTAATCAATAATACATTGTAGGTATTGGGTTACAAGGTTGTGGCCTCTAGTTCAACAGCAGTGAAACAGGACTATAATGAATATATGTGGACTATGCGAAAGGAATTTTCTGAACCAGAACCATCAATAATTGTGGAGCAGGATAATATTACAAACTTCAGCAAGGAGGCTATGCACCTTGGAAACTATCATCATCCAGCAAAAGACGATGAGGTTTAAAGTTCATTTGAACTTAATTATTTGTATGTTTTGAATAATTTTTCACATTGGATTTTTAATTATGGAAACGAAAAGTCCTAAATCACCTGAGGGTGTCGCAGTATTTGATCGCTTCACTAAGAAAGGAATCATTTACATTGCTATCAAAGGATCATTACATGCAACAGATTGTTCAGTTTTTGGCTTACAAGAAGAAGTAGTAAAGAATCTTGCCAAAAAGTATGAACCTGTTATAAATGGCTTTTCTATAAGTGCTAATGTTCTTAATGCCATAAACTCGTTAAGCCAGCTGGGATACAAAATCGTTTCTAGCACTGGGGAATCAGAAATCACCTGGACTATGCAAAAAGATATTTATTGCTAAATATATAGATGAATGTTAACATCTAACATTAGTGTATAGTCAAACACTACATATTCATAAATTTTTATTAGCACATCATTTACTTTTATTGTAAAATGGATCATAAAACTGTATGTGATCATGCAAATTGCACAACAGCAATGTCTAATCAATCTCTATCACAAACACTATCTGAAATGGACTGGGAGAGGGGTATCTGGTATGCAGGTATATTCTTTGTTTTTTAATTAATAGACCAATGAGTAAATTAAAATTATAATTTAACATTAATCATTAAAGATATCAAACTGATTTCAATAAATTTCTTACAATGACCTCTTGTCAATAGATGATATGCTATATATATGTTTTGATAGAAAAAATAGAGAAGTTGTGCTCACAATGTTATATTTGACTATGGCGAAGTGAAAAGGAGGGTTAAGATTTTGGTCGGTATGTATGTATGTAAGAATGTTCATTTGTTCCCTTATAACTTCAAAACTACCCATGTAACAACAAATGAGGTATCATTAAAAGCATCTTAATTGTCCATGTGCTACAGGCTATGTGACGTTACATTAAATTAACAACAGCACCCTCTAGAGAGCATAAGAAACTAAAAAAATAAGTTCAATAACTAAATCCTGACAACAAAATCAAACTTTAGAAATAAGGTCATAGCTATTATCATATAGCTATCGCTATAAAATATTTTTTGTTTCAAACTTTTAGAATGTGATTTAGCTGTAGTTAGGTTGTAGTTTTTGAACTTAATTTTTGTAATTTACTCTCAACATAATTCAATCCTTCAGCAACTGATACAAAACACACTGCTCATGCATACCCTAGGGCATTCATGATGATGGCAGATTCCCAAATAATTGGTGATAAGAAAACTTTATTCCAAAATGATTTAATATCTCAGTTCAAAATAAAATTGTCCATGATTAGATTTTCATCTTGTATGAACTTGTGCATGCTTATCAACTTATGATTTTTTTAAAGTACATCAGTGATACCTCCTACTATCTTATTATTAAATTTTTTAACAATATGGACTGCAAATTATCCAGTAACTTGTTTCAAATTAGAAATTGTATGTTAATTTTTGGACCTCATCACCCACAAATGACTTTATTTATGTTGACCCTTGGGAAACAGATTTCGTCCCCAAGGACCAATATTTACCACTTTGAGAATATGTGCTCGAGACACTGTTAGCACATAGTGGCTACATACCTATGTTAAACTAATAGTATTTTTCAATTTAATTTGTTGACAAAAATGCACTTTTAGCTTTCAATGGAGACAAAGGAAGAGTTGAACACTTGATAGAGAAATCAAATAATGCAACTAGAACAGTTAATGCACCAGATAACTCGGGCTACACAGCTTTGCACTATGCTGCAAAGAGTGGACACATTGACATTTGTGGAATTCTATTAAAATATGGAGCTTGCATCAATGCACAAACAAGGAGTGGTAAAGCTACTCCTTTGCATAAAGCTGCTACTGCAGGTTTGTTAATAAATTATTTTTAAGTTTTTCAGCGCGTTTGTATTTTTTTTTTCATAGATAGTGCACATGAAAATATAAGAAATCAATAAACAATCATATTTATTAAGTTTTATTTTATTTCTAATACTAATGATAACTATTATTTAATTTAGGTAAAATTACCACAGTAAAGTTTCTCATTGAATCCGGAGCTACAGTTGATACACAAGATGTTGACGGCCAAACTATTCTCCATAAAGCTGTTGAAAACAAACGAAACGAACTTGTTAGTTTCTTACTTAATGTTTATCCTCAACTGAGCAATATTAAAGATAAAAAAGGCAATTGTGCAGTTTAGTCTACGGCAAGATGCCAGGGGCAGTAACTTTCGATTTAATTTACGTAAAACATGCACTTTCAATGGAGACTAACAAGAAATTAAAAAATCAAAAATAAAGTTGACACTTCAAAAAATAATAAACAAGAATCCTCCTCACTGTGCCTGCCCCCAAATGTAATATGGAATGAATATTTATATAAAAACACTGAATTGGAACCGTTATCATACCTCTCGGAATATACGTACAGAGAACGTGCATAACATATTAATTACAACAATAATATAATTTGGGAAATTTGCATACATACGTTGAAATTTGCAAAGATAAAAGGTATGATAACAATTTAAAGACACTGAAGGATTTTTATGATTATTTTTGTAATTGTTTAACTAGTTTTAATCTACCATTAATTTTATTATATATGCAGTAATCTGTTAGAATTGAACTAATATATTTTTTTAATTTACCATTAATTTTATTCTATATGCAGTAATCTGTTAGAATTGAACTAATATATTTATCTTGTTAAGTTGCTTGTTATTTTTTTTATATTTTCTAAACTGAATAAAATACTTTTTATTAAAATTAATTATACTTAGGTATATTTTACATTCACGTTTCCCTACTTTTCCCACAATAATGGGCTTTCTGGAATGTATTTTGTAGGAGTTAAGATGAATATATTTTTCTGCAGTGTTGATTTTTGTCGCGACAAAAACATATCGAATTCATGCATTTAGTTATACGTTGTGTTGTGTAGCACGCGACAGAAATATAACAATTTCATACATATATATTTTAATTTTACTTATTTCATGATAATAACTTATGAAAGTTTGTACTTTTTTTTAATTTAAGGATCTTAGTATCATAGGCGTAGAGTTACGATTATGGATTTTGGAAACATTTTGTACTTTAGTGTCCTCTGTAAAAAACTAAACGAACTATTTTATGTGTACTCAAAGGTCAGCCATATCATTTTTATAATACAATTATACCTGTTAATAAACTAAGTATCTCATGTTATAATTAAATTTAGATGGTAAATACCAATGATATATTAAAAAGTTAAGATCGGTTATCTGCGCATTAACAACAAGAAGGCAAAGCAATATCCTGAGTTTCATTTTAATCACGTTTCAGCAAGCGTTGTAGCTAATGTCATTTTCATTTGTAATTTTCTGTGAAAAGTTGTAGAAAAAATGCCTTCCTTCGTGTTCAAACAATGCAAAAATTACACATTAACAGTGAGAAAATAAACTAACAAGAGGTCTGCTGTATGATTTTAATAGGTAGATGACTATTTTTGATTTCTTCGCGCCCTTTGTGGTTATTTTATAATGTGACGCCGTTTTAAACACAATTATGTACTGGTATAACATGTCTAATAATAAAATATCATTGGTAAAAACTTTATTAAATAAGTTATTTTGTCATCCTTTTATGTAATAAACAACATAACATCATTACTCTTGCCTAAAAATTATGAACTTGTATTTATTAGAGTTTCGGTGAAACCACTATTCGACGCATCTCTAGTATTTATGTTACGAGTTCATGGGTTGATTTATTTATTTTTGCTTTGAGGACTATAATAGTTCATAAAATACTAAGTACTTGCAACGAAATAATTTACTCTTCAAGTAAAAGCATACCATATCAACAAATTTTGTATGCTTAATTCATTTTTTTATTTAATTAACTCATATATTTACTGTCAATAGGATATCTTATAAACACTGCAACACAACAGGATACTACTAAGAACCTCTCTGCAATGAATTTTAAACTCAACTGTCAACAAATTAAGGCATATCGATTGCAGAAATATGACCCTTTGTAAATAACCTGTCGTGTTGTTAACTTTAGATTAATTCAAAACTCGGATAAACAGTTTTTATAAGCGCCACAATTTTTATACCAAGTCTTCTTATAGATACATACTACAATATAATGCTGTAAGATCCACATAGTATTCCCAATTCAAACGATGTCGGCTCGAATCAAATCTAAAATCAGTCTTGTTTATTAAACCATAAGGTGTAAAATACAACCTAGGCGAAAGCTCAGATCGCCCAATGATACTTGAATAGTCTCCACACTGGATTGGCGATCAAATATCAATGATCCAGAATATCAATCTGGTGGATCCAATTTAAAGTGGCTAGACCACACCGAGCGATCCATGGAAATCCAACGGGCTAGGCAAATAGGACGTATTACTGCAACTTTTTCACGTCAAAATCAACACTAGTGCCAATAGTAGTTTTTTTTTATAAACGTCATTCATATAGTAGTTAGTAAAGAATAAATTAATAGTAAGCCGTAAAAATTTAATGCTTTTTGAATTTATAATAAGTGTAATTTTATGCAATAATACATTGCGCTGCATATTTGCATGTAAGAAGCATATAATCCATTTCACCGGACGACCAAATATTAGCAAAAGTTTAATATGTGTGCCAGTGCTGCCATCTACAGTTTTTATTAGAGTTTCGTGTAGATGGCGTATTCGCATATTGAATGCACGCTCTGCCTCGTGAGACCCATTTTTTTGCAATGATGACGATTAACGTCTCATAATACGTGTTTGGATGACTGCATATTGTAATCGAAGATGGATCGCTCGGTGAGTTTGTAAGTGCAGGTCCACAGCGACCGCTCCTGTGGAGCGCAGAACTAGCGTACGCGATAGTAACGTCTTGGATCATTTAGTGTGGAATCGGCTTCGTGTTGTGATTGCCCAAAGTACATTACTTGCATCTTATGTAACTACGTCCATGGCTCGATTTTTTAATAAAAATATTAGTGACTGTTTCTTGTGATTTATTTAATAGTGGGATCGAGCATTGTTTGTAGGCAATAATTGTATATCAATAAAATATAAAACATTTCATTTATGTTTTTAATTATTAATATGTACTAAATAGTACATATATATATATATATATATATATATATATATATATAGTTTTGTATTCAGCACTAAATATGCGTTAATATCATCTTTGTAAGAAAATCTATTTTAATTAAGTCATTAATAAACAATACGTTTGTAATAATTCATTTTATTTTGTAACATCAAATCCTATGTCAATACCTATGTATATACACTTAACGATTTGATGCTACCACAACTATGCAGAATTATTAAAAGTACCTTCATCTTCCAGCATAAGGAATCTCTTTAAACTCACAGGTAATGGTAAACTATAAATATATGAAAACATTGTTTTATGTGTATGCATATGTCTAATTCTTATCCTACACAAATCCGATAGACTTAACGGGTCTCTAGAAGCACAATATAGCCAGTATACTGAGCTACCAGGTTTAGGAACAACACCCGTTTCGGGAAACTGTAAATAATGTCCAGCTTTTATGAGAATGCAAGCAAGGTCGGGAGATCGTCTCCTGCTAGCGATAGACAAATTATCTAAACCACAAGATTGTAGATCGCATATATTAACATCGGCACCATGGCGTATCAGCAAAACGGCAGCAATATCTCTGAAATAAAAAAATATTTTACATTATATACATAAATAGCGAAAATAAGTTAAACATAATGCACAGCACCCATCGTTACTCGTCGTTATTTTACAAATATTAAGAATCACTATACTCAGTTCCTAGAGCAGGCGAAAAAACGGTGAATGAGCCAAAGTCTATCAATAGAACTATTGTTTACTAAAGCTAATAGTCAACAATTATTGTATGGGGTGGGGAGTGATGTATGGAACGCTATTAGCACAACAAAACTATACTTCGTGGCAACGATGCAAAGTTCTATGGCGATATATATCGCTGTCTTTAAACACACGTAATACTCAGTCATTGTCCTTTCTTACGCCTGCCCAAAGAAAAATCTATTAATCCAAATAGTCAAAATTTTAATGTGGCGAATGATAAACAAAATCAGTATTTTCAGTGATCTAACTAGTAAATTCTTTCTTTTTAGATACAGTGCATTTCAGTTTAGTGTCTAATTAAATTTACTAGAGCTACTGGTTGACTCACTCTATTACATAACCTTTGTATGTATGTCACTTGAGAAGAGGCATTTAAATATATTTACTTACTTGTGTAATAGTAAAGCCCTATTGAGAGCAGTATCACCAGTTAGAGCCGTAGTATTCATATCAATATTATATTCTAATAAACAAATTAACAATTCCTCCAATTCCTCTGGACAGTCTATACTTTCAACAGCTATATGCAATGCATTTGCACCTGTTATGCTGTTACAAGCATTAACATTTGCTCCTATAACAAAAAAAAATTACTTATTTTCAGACACAATCACATATAATGTTAATGTTCATAGTCTTATTATAATTACCTCTTTCAAGTAATATACGAGCTACGTTCGGTTGAGATAAACGGGCCGATAATAACAAAGGCGTGTCACCATTATCATTGTGTAAATTGATCCCGCCACCCATGTTAGCAAGCATTTTTACTATTGATTCCTATAAATTAACAGATAGGATAGGACACAAATAGGAATATGAGTAATTATTTAAATTTGTAAATCTGCAATAGTATTGATTACCTGTCTTTGAATTATAGCATTGTGTAACAATTTATGAGAGTGTGTAATTCGTGCTCCGGCTGTTAATAAGACATCAACAACCGTTGGGAACCTTTGCCACACTGCCTCACAAAGTGGTGTATACCCTGTAACAGAATAATATATTAACATTTTTCTGTTCAAAAGTAATCTTACATTTCCTGGTTCAAGATCAATATAAAGTGTGCATTAATGGCAACTCTAACATCCATTTTCGATAACCTAGAACAAGGCATATCATAACTAGGAAACACCTAAGCATGTTAGTTTAATTCCAATTTTTTTTTTTTTTTTTCTCTTATCCCTTGACATGTTTATGATCTTTCATATACGCAAACACCTAGCGCAAGGCTCCGAATAATGAACGAATAATAGGCTTAATTTCACTAGGTGGTTCATAGTCAATGGTGAAATGCATTTTTACCTTACTTAGGTGATTTCTAAATATTTAGGCGACTCCTAACTTTGGTTCAAACGACGTACGTCGATTATTAAGGATGTAAGTAAAAAAAATAGAAGTATTTCTGAACTGAAGATCAATTTTTGGTTTGCTTTCTAGCGTCTTATGTAATATATTCTTGATAATATTTAAGTAACTTACCATGTATCTGTTCACTATTAACATTAGCTCCCACAGATATTAGATATTTTACTACATCAACATGGCCTCTGACAACAGCCAAATACAATGGTGTTCGTTCGCTGGTGTCTCTTGCTTCTAAATATGCTCCATTATTGACTAGAATTTTTATCTGAAATTTTACAAAAATATTAGAGAGATAGCAACAAGAGAAGATTATTAAAAACATTATTATATTAAAAAAATAGTTCATAAAAGGTGTTTAATTGACCTTTTTTTAAACAAAACTTAAGATTTTCAAAACTGTTAAACCAATCTGATGAAACTTGTCCTCCCTAAGGCAAATGCTCATTAACAATAGAATAGAACCAATAAGATCCAATGTCTTATTTCCAGACAGGACCAATCATTGTGGAAATCTATGGAAGAGCCCTCAACAATGAGCGTCATATGGCTGTTGATGATGATGATGATGATGTCTAATTTCCAAAAAATACATACACACATGATGTTTGATACATATAGGTATATAGAACCTCTCAATATCACCTAATATTTATTTTAAATCTATTCAAAAGGGAGAAACATTGCTTTGCATCCACTGACCATTTCTAAGAAACCTCTAGAGGCTGCAAAATGTAAAGATGTTGTCTTTTCATGTGTTTTATAATTCACATGGCTGCCAGCAGCCAAAAGCATCTTAGCAATTTCTCCATGGTTTTTTATTGCCGCAATATGTAATGGAGTCAATCCATCCCCTGCTGTAAGATCTACTTTACAACCTAAAATAAAACAAATAAAACTGAAATATTCTACTACTGTATATTTTTGGTTTGAAAAAAAATGTAAAACATTTTGCATACATGCCGGTATAACCTGTTTTCAGACATTTTTTATAAATAGTGTTAATTCAATATAAAAATTCAAACTACAATTATTAATAAAACCTCTTTTGTTTTTTAAATTGTCATTTAACCAGCACAGGTGTGATTTGTTTATTGTGAACTAATATGTGTTCCATAAACCCTATTCTGTGCTAGCTTTTGGTCTTACATATTAATTGTACTGAGAATATTTCCAAAAAGAATGAATATTTAAATAAAATATTTAAAGTAAATTACTTGGAATAAAATATATGAATATTATTAGAGATGCGCCGAGTAGTGTGGTCACCAAATAAACAATCAGTATTGGGTTTAACTTTTAATGAACCAGATATTCGGCCAAATTATTCAGTTTACTATTAATTTTTTTTATTTAACCAGTGTTTCTAAGTACTCCTTGTAATATAATAAACAATTATTACAGAAGCAGGGAAACAATGTGAAGAAAAACCCAAGAGTTTATATATAACTATAGTTTATAAAATAAATATCTATAAGTTTCATTGCTTAATTAAACACATTCTTCAAAGGCTTTCTTTGTCTTATATTGTAACATAAATTTTCCATTACAAGTTCTTTTAGTTCTATATTGTGTCATAAATGCTCAACCCAAAAAAAGAAAATAGAAATACTCAACCCAATATATTCAACACCAAAACCAAAAAATTTGGCCAAATACAAATAGTAAAAAAAGATACCCAATACTAAATGAATATTCAGCGTATCTTTAAATATCATGTTGATTAATTATTAATAGTTAAAATACTTCTTTACCAGCTTTTAGTAACAAACCAACCACAGCCTCATGTCCTTGCTCTGTAGCATAATGGAGTGCAGTTCTCATGTATGTATCTTGTTGGTCAATACCATTTGTAGCTGCTGATGCTGAAGCTATAGCAGCTCCAGTACTTTCCAAAATAGCAGCATACCATCTATTATTAAGAAATAAAACTATAAAGCTCTAAAATACAGAGTAAATAATGGTAATGCATTATTAAAAAAATATAAACAAACCTGTACATTGAACTCCAGGTTTCATCCTCACTTGTACCTACTATTGGTGTGTCATTGTCAATTTCTTCATCCCATTCCAAATCTGACTGGGGTGATGGTGTTAAAGAAGATGGACTTAGAGATTTCAAACAAGTAACTTTACTTTCATCACTACTAGAACCCTCACTATGTATGAACACAAAATAACCCTGATTTCTTTCAAATTTACTATTCTCTTGTCTAGAAGCAAAGTTGTTATATTGACCTGTATTGTAATACTCTTTTAATTTTCTCTCATTCATATTTTTACACTTAACAGCTGTTTCAGATTGCCAGTCATGTTTAAACTTTCTTTTATGTGATTTTAAGTGCCGCTTCCTTGTTAAAATTGTGGAATTGCTTGAAGTGGTGGTGGTGTTGGTCTCTGATGTTGTAGCTTCTATCAATAATTTAACAATTCCTGCATTACCAATATTTGCTGCTTCACCTAAGCAAGTTTTACCATAACTAGCAGTCTTATTGGGATTAGCACCTGAAAATTCAAAATTTAAACACTGATTAAAATCATCTTGCACAATTCAGTGGTAATGTTTGTCAGCCTCTATTTGATTCACATAAGCTAGAAGCTAATTGTTGAATGCTTTGATAGAATAAATAATATTGTGGTATCAAGCTTCATGAAAAAGAGTGGTCGGAAATATAAATGGTTTAAGTGTATTTACATAAATTCCCTAGTCAGAATTTGTATAGGGCCTATAACAAATTGTTATTTATCAACGTATTGTCACAATTAACTTTAAGAGTTTACTTATTTAACACTTTTCAGCTACCACCATCTCACTTTCTACAAATATTCTTATTCTCGGTGCTAAGTGCTAAGTGAGCTAAAACGATTTGGATACCTTTAGATATAAGGTGTGAAACCTTGTCTTTATCTTCGTCGAGAATAGCTTGATATAAATTGTCCTCTAGTGACTTTTCCATCTTCTTTTTTGTTAATTAAATATTTCAGAAATCATTCATTCCACAACTGATAAACAAAAACGCGAGAAACAAACAAACAAGCAAACAAGCGACAACACGAAAACACAGAAAACAACAAATAAATGTCAACGTCAAATGAATAGGGATGCCCGATCTGTATCCATCTTTTGGAAGATTTATTCAAAACAATACAACCATCAAATTTTTTGGATCGATTCGTTGAATTACGATCTGAACTCAGTAGACCTACGCTTACGCTTCGGTCAAAAATAAAACTAGATAACGCCTCCCATACTAAAACAATACTCAAATACGGCACCAAACGATAGATCATACACTGCGACAACCAAGGAACATAATACCACATAGTATATTTTGTGTAATACTAGGCGAAAACTGAGCTCCAGAACGGTATGGAGTCACATTGTCAATTTTATTTTTCATAATAAAATATACGTGTAATTATATATGTTAATAATTTAGGGAGGCAGAAGGTTTTTAATTTAAATAACAGTACAATTATAAAATCTATTATCTTTGCACACATTATAATTTGAGACTTTTACGTTACAATTTCTAGCGAAGTAATCTTTCAATAACCACAACCAAGACAATGGTGATTTTCTCACAATCTAAGGATTTTAATAAAAATAATTCTGAAACAATATGTCATTTAAATTAAATATATAATATTAATTACCTCTAAATACTTTATGTTTATTGAAAAGTTATCTCTTGGACTTATTTTTAATCTCAGCCGTTTCTTCTTTGCATATATAATGCAAGCTTACGTCAACAAAACATTCAATTACTAAATAAGGTAATTCTGTTTTATGGTTTAATTAATTCGTTACTTTCAGGGAAGGCATCTTCATTAGGTAATATATGACTTTAATACTGCTATAGAAATATATTTTTTTATAATACATCTTTTTAATAAATTTACCCCCACTTACAAGGAGTAAATTCCTTATAACACTTTCTGTTTTCATGCACACATCAAAAATATGTTGTTTAAAGGCTCCCCCATACAGGCACGTTATTACAGGTCGATAATATCGCAAGCGGTATTGCGTTAATGCGTCCCGATTCCTTACATTCCTTGCACACAACTGCGTTTTTATATTTCTTACAAGAGAGTAACATTATTATCGCAGGTGTGTGTACGGTCATTTGCGTCCTGATAGAAAACATTCTAGAACTCATATCGGACTATCGAAGGACGGAGAAACGCAACGTCCTACTTCTTGCGGCATTATTATCGCAGCAGTGTGTAACTACATACTAATACAAAATGTACTGAAAACAAATATCGCAGTAACGCATGCGATATTATCGACCGATAATAACGCAGCTGTGTGGGGGAGCCTTTAAGTCACTATCAGGGAACGCATCTTTTGCTTCAAATAGTTTTTTTGTAAATAAATTATTTATTATTTATTGCTGTAAGGGGCTATGCAGTTCCCTGAGGAACTGTAGTCACTGCGACCTTGAAGATCTATTGTGACTCGCCGCCAGATCTATAGTAACTCCTTTAGCCCAGTAGACTTCAAAAAGTCTATTAGGTATATTCCTGGCTTTTAGAGATCTTCTGGGCTGATTATATGTCGTCCCAGATGTATGCTTCGTTTGTGGATCAGTGGTCCACATTTACACAGGAGATGTTTTGGTGTTTCACGTTCCTGTTTGCAATATTTGCAAATGTCAGTGTCACTTAGTTTCATGTTAAATAGGTGTCTGTTTAATTTGCAGTGTCCAGATAAGGCTCGTACAATTGAGCTTATATTTGCTCTCTTTAGCTTCAAGAGCTCTTCAGCTAGTTTTTGTGAATGACCTTCAATTAGGATTTAGCGTGATTTAATCCCGGCTGTTTTTGCCAGTATTTTTTTGAATCCCTTTGCAGGTAATTTTTTAGAATTTGCATCACATGGTTTTTAGGGATACCGCAAAAGGGCTCTGGTCCTATTTGTAGTCCCTGTGCTCCAGCCCTTGCTAATTCATTCTTTTTTTCATTGCCGATGATGCGTGCCGATGAGTGTCCTGGTACCCATTTGAGAATAATTTTATTCTTTTGCCCCAGTTCTTGTAAATAGATACTCAATATACATAATAAAACACCCAGACCGATACATCTCTATATGTTCATGCATGCGGCTTTGTAATCGAGAACATGAACCAGTACACCAAGATGGATTTCAATTATTGTTCAAATATTTGATAAAAAAAAAATGTAATAGTACACTACTCTATATGTGCTGTCTTAGAATATCGAATATTTGGCCTTCTATTTTTGAATGAATGCCATGTTGTGCGCGTAGCTTGGGTCAGAAACAAAACTCAGTTATTTTATTGAAAATACTTTGATTGTAAATTAGAAATATTGGAAAATAACATTTACCACCAGCCCTTTTACGTCCCCACTGCAGGGGCTCAGGCCCGGGTTCGGTGCTTCGTCAATTAAATAGGCTGATCAGCTTGAGTATAATTTATTAAAGTAATAAGGGTAATAATAAAAAACCCTTGTCGGGCTTCTTGTTACACTTTTGATCGTACAAAATACAGATTTAATTTAGTAAATATGTTATATTATTGTATCACCATAATATATGAATTATTTAAACATTACATATTAAAATTTATACCAATAATATTGTATTATATTAGAATTTCATCTTGTGTATATGGGAATTTCTTACGAACTGACATCCATAAAGAGTAAAATTGATTAGTCAAAATTTTAAATTACGAAAGACGAATAGTAAAATGAAATGATGTTGAATTTCAAAAGCAAAAAGTTTGCATACTGAAACCTAGGAAAACAAACGGTGGCATGGCACACCGTTACAATACCGGGGGGGCCGGGGTTAAAAAAAAAATCTGAAAGATTTTTTTTTAGATATTCTTGGATTACTCAAGCTTAAAATATTTTATATAAAATGTGATTAATTAATGCTATCATGATTTAATTTAGAAATGGGGATGGTATATATAGTGGATAAATTACATTAGGCGATTTCCCTTTCATAAAATGTTCTTACTTCATCATTCAAACATCATTCAAACAATCTTTATCTTATTAAGATAAAAATTCCTAGCAATTAGAGGTAACTTGTATTTAAGAAAGATTATCTCTAATAAATCGACCTAGAAAATAGTGTAGGCTTCTTTAAAATAATGTCAGTCACCACCCGCTGACTTTAGGTGAATTGTGTAGTGTTGTTGAGTGTAGATGAGTGTGTTGTGTAAGTGTCTAAATGTAGAGTGTAGAATAATATACAATCGTAGTAATAAATAAAGTAGGTAATGCATTAGGTATAACAATACATTATGTAGTGTTAGATAATAAGTATACATAAGTACACAAAGAAATATTTTGATATTGGCTTATTTATAGTGTTATCAACCGCACTTTAAAATTGATATTTAACATTGGCTTGTTTAAAGTGTTGTCATCCGCACTAAATTGGTATTTTGACATTGGCTTATTTATAGTGTTGTCATCCGCACTAGATGAAAATAATAAATTATGAAGATAATAAAAATAACAATAAGTATGAGTAGCCAAATAATTAAATGAAAACGTTATGAGTATTTACAGGGTACTAACAATAAATAAATAAGTAATCCAAGAATATTTCTCAAGGTCTCCTATCATTGGTAATAAAATTTCACGCAATTCTTGAGCCGTTTGGGTAATTCAAAATTCGCGTTTCGTAATTTCAGTTCATAAATAATTTCTGGTTTATTCAAGTACGATATATCCATGATTAAAATTGGTTATTATAAAAGAAATGAATGTCAAATCGTAAACGGAAAATAAATTACAATATTCTATTTTTTAAATATTAAAAATAATATTATTCGTCAAAAAAAAATCTCAGCAAATTTTTGAAAAAATTAAAGTAATGCCTTACGTACCTTTATATATACGGAATCTTAATTAGATTATTTACTATTAAATATTCCTGTTTTATAACACTATGTTGAGTACGTGTTTGTATGTTCCTCGATACAATGGCATCAGAACCGATCACATTTGTGACCAGCCAAAGTAACGCTGAACGTCTATTGTCTGTTTATGTGAGTAAATGTGATTGTGGTGTTGGTCGTAAAGTGTGCACTATTGTCTTCTATTGCAGTAGTCAGCCTATTTTTCAACCACGTTGCGGCGCCAGTGTTACGGGTTCGGTGCTTCGTCAATTAAATAGGCTGATCAGCTTGAGTATAATTTATTAAAGTAATAAGGGTAATAATAAAAAACCCTTGTCGGGCTTCTTGTTACACTTTTGATCGTACAAAATACAGATTTAATTTAGTAAATATGTTATATTATTGTATCACCATAATATATGAATTATTTAAACATTACATATTAAAATTTATACCAATAATATTGTATTATATTAGAATTTCATCTTGTGTATATGGGAATTTCTTACGAACTGACATCCATAAAGAGTAAAATTGATTAGTCAAAATTTTAAATTACGAAAGACGAATAGTAAAATGAAATGATGTTGAATTTCAAAAGCAAAAAGTTTGCATACTGAAACCTAGGAAAACAAACGGTGGCATGGCACACCGTTAGTATAACTTCAATTAGTATAAATAAAAGGAATAATTTGTATTCAGCTTCTATATTCTCTATCAGAGCAAGTGTTGATTCAATGACCTGTATTTTTAATTATGTAACAAGTAGTTAATATAGTTTACACTTAAATCACAATAATGATTCTCTAATGAAGATAATTTTAAACATGATATCTCTTTTTGCAGGTAAAAAAGTGTGTAAAAATATGTCTGCAGCTTTGTCTTACACTGCAAATTTCTGTGAGTATTAGATGAAATTTACTAACAGTTAATAGTTTTGAATCAAGTTTCATACAATTATTATATGAATATTTTAATTTGCAGCAACTTATGTGGATGGCAGGCCAACATTAAGAAATACAGCTGAAGTTGTTTCATTCTTTGACCAATTATTTGATAGTGTCAATGGAGCATCGATAAACAAAAGAAGCATAAAGGAAAAGAGCATCATTCTTTCTGGCCAAAGGCAACTGAAATTTTAGAAAACCTTAAATATGTATATAAAAAGGTATGCAAATATCAGTGCCCTCTTTAAAAAAAAATGTGATTACCTTGAAAAGTTTCATAAGGTTGTGCCACTAAAAAAACGTAGCTAAGAATTGCCGAGAATGCAGAAGAAAGCTGTGAAAAATATAATAAGTTAAAAAATAAATTATTCAATAAATAATATTGGAAAAATGTATGTTTCATTTACGTGTTCGTTTTTCCTTTTTTGTTTTAATACAACAATAATAATAAGCTAGATTTATCAGTCTGCTTTATTGTTATTGTTGTATTAAAACAAAAAAGGAATTTAAATTAAAGTAAAAATAATGTGGAAACTAGGAAGACGGCTAGGTACCTACCCAAAACAGGGCTGTATAGCTAAATGCCTTTGCCCATACTAAATCTATATATTTAAAACGAATGAAGCTGTCATGTATCACTGGCTCCCAATCACGTTCTACGAAGAAATTTTTTGTTAGGAAGTTGGTCGTCTGATACCTACAGGCCTTCCATATGGATGGTTAAGGAGGATGGGCCATGACCCTCCACGCTGGCCCAATGCGGATTGGAGGGTATTGACGACTGCAAATGCAGCCGGGACCAACGGCTTAACGTGCCTTCCGAAGCACGGAGTAGCTCGAGATAATAATTTTTTTGGTCACCCATCCCGTGACCGACCCTTGCGAAAGTTGCTTAACGACTACGAACGCGAGCTGCGGCGCTTATCCACTACGAGGAAAATAACATTTACAACCCGTAAATATGATATTCCAACAGATACATTTGTAGGAACCGTTAACCGTTGTCTCCTTCCGAGCTAGGTGTTCTTAGCCCGGGGACCGTGGTCCAACCGATGTAGGCTGGATTTTCTATTTATGTTATGCGAATTTGTAATGTAACTCATTGTAGGCGATGTAGGTTTCCTTTGTTCTATAGTTTGATCTTGTACCTTTAAAATAGGTGTACAGCACCATCTTGTTACTGTATGGTGAAAGTCTTTGCAGTTCGTCTTGCTATTGATTATTGTGGCGAGTGAGGCGTTATGCCTTCGGCCATCTTTGAGACTAGCAGCTTAAAAAAATATCGATGTCAAATAATAATTACAGTTGAATATTTCAAATTTCCACAACTGAATTTGATTTAAAATTAAGTGAAAAATATAGTATGACGTCTGTTGACTGTATATATAATATAATTAAAAAAAAAACACTTAAAAAAGTAAAAAAAGCTTCATAGATAACTAAAGTAGAGTTGCAAAGTGACTTCTAGTGGCAACAGAATCAACTCAATGCACCGAGATAACTCTACAACTCGAGTGCATAGAGAGCCGACTAATATTATTTCACTTGAGTACCTAAGAACTTCACAAATTCATTTGAGTGTTATAGCGCGAGTCTGATGATTGCCCTTGGCACAGAAAACACGCTATTATAAATAATAAATTGTTTAATAAAACTGAAATATAATTAAAATAACTAAACTGTAATCTTCACACAAGCTTGAAAAAATATATTAAAATTTTTACATGGCGGCTAAAAGACAGAACCAAAAATTCATAATAGTAGATAAGAAAAAAGGTCAAGAATGAGTTGTGCACTTATACACAGATTATATTCTAAACATAAGGAGACAGTACACGGACTGGCCGCCCAGATCTAGTTAAACACGGACGTAGTGCTTCAGTGTTTAGATTAAAAATAGGGCTCGAGTCGCAACGCTACTATAAAGATATACGGATTACTTTACCTTCGTACTAGGTGATCTAAAAATTAACATTGATGTAAATATCAATGTTAGCAAAACATCGATGTCAATAATTAAAACAACCGTAATATCAAACGACATTTAATAATCAAATCATGAGGGTATAGACACACATTATATGTTCCAATATGCAAAAAGACAGCAATCCTTTCCGTAGTTTATTAGTGTTCAACTTTTTACAAATACCGCGTGTATGTACATAGACACGTTCATAGATTTCGATAGGCCCTCTATACTATTGCCCATGATAGGAAATCATTGAGTGCCACCATGATTGTCACTATCATTGCACGCTGTCCACACGAGCGACCATTCCACTTTGTGTGGGAAGGCCAATCTTGTGAAACAAAAATTATACAAAAATTATACTTGTGGAGGTCCTTTTGGCATAATCTATAAACATAAACGGTTCGTTATAGATCTTCGTCAGCTAAGACATTTTACACCGGCTCATTCTATTGCTCATGATGGGCGATCACAGGCCATTACCATTATGTAGACGGCATGATCACCTATAATATAGGTGCACACTGTACACGATCAAATTTCATTTGTGTACTTGCTGACATCGATGATATGTCCACACGAGCGGCCATTCCATTTTGTGTGGGAAGGCCGATCGTGTGAAACAAAAATCAAAATTGTCCTTGTGGAGGTTCTTTTGGTATAATCTATAAACATAAACGGTTCGTTATAGATCTTCGTTAGCTAAGACATTTTACACGATCAAATTTCATTTATGTGTACCTGCCGACATCGATGATATGATGTTATATTGAATGCAATATCGATGTTAAAACCACGATATTTTTTCTTATAGCATCGATAATGATTAATCGTCGGGCATCCCTACTTTGTACTGATTTTAGTGTTTTATTTTTGGAATTTGGGAATTGTGAGTTTTAGTAAGAAATTTGTGTTTGTACGTAGATTAATTTGGATTGATTTTAGTGATAAACGGTATGTTGCATGTTTTTAAAAAGCGTTTTCTTCACAAATAATCATGTAAACTAGGATTTTAGTTTATTATGTCTACCTCATAAAAACACTTACCATTTTAGACTTGACATTAATCACTCTTCCTGTTTTAGTTGAAGACTATTTCCTGTGACTAAAATTCTGTTTGTAGAAGTTATTTTATTCGATTTATTTTAATGCATATGTACGCAACTTTTTTACTAAATAATACTATAATAACTTAAATAATATAGCTACATGCAATTAAAATTTCCAAAAACATTTAGTTTTTGAAATATTAACAGTATGGGTAAATGAATAATGCATATGTATATTTATTTCAGGAACTATGATAACAAACAAAATATAAGATGTCTGTTGAAAACTGTTTAGTCAAGGCGATCTATTCATTCAAGGGCAAGAACAATGACGAACTGTGCTTTAAAAAAGGAGATATTATTACTGTTACTCAGAAAGAAGAAGGTGGATGGTGGGAAGGCACATTGGGGGAGACCACAGGATGGTTTCCAAGTAATTATGTGACAGAATATAAAGGTAAATAGTATTATAGGTTGACATCTCGTTATGAAATTTGATAATTTTAAATCTAATCTTATGAGCTGTACTTAAAATGCATAAATGAATTACAAAAAAATAAAATTCAGGACAGATGTTTGTTTTTTTATAAAAATATTTTTAATCTTACTTTTTTTTCTGCCCCAATGCAGGAATCTGCCAAATGAGGGGATAATAAATGTATAGATTGCTAAAGTGCAGACTATGATATCAATATTTTTATTAATTTAACTTATCAGATTTGATATATTTTGCAGACTTCAAACCATATGAGCAAGCAATGCCCTTACTTTATAAGAGACATGAAAATAATATATGATGACAGTCATATGCTGATAAGTGCTTCACATATATCTTTTTAAGTTAATTACTCATTATTAAATAAAAGATGGGTTTTGTTACTTGATAAAATTAGAAAAGATTGGTATAAAAAACAATAACTATTTTTGCATATAAGCCCCTCTACCTTAAAGCCATTGCTTTATTTAATCTTTGGAAATTGTTTCAGACCCATCAGGTTCAGTTACTACTTCACCTATTAGAGCAGCGTCTGAAATTCAAGCTTTTAGAAATGTGGTACTTAAAGACATCATTGATTCTGAGAAGGCTCATGTTGCTGAAATGCAGGGATTGGTCAATAACTTCTTACAACCACTGGAGAAAAGTGAAATGTAATTATCAGTAGACTAAGTTTGTTTTAATTTTTTTCCAGCAATTTGTAATAAATGAATTTTGGAAACAAAATTTAGTACCTAAATTTAAATAATGCTTTAATAAATCCATTGAGGAATTGGATCATGCAATAGTTAACATGTTTTATCTGTAATGCGGAAGTTTCAAAAGGGCATGTTTAGGATGGGTGACTAAAATTTAATATCTCAACCTCCTCCATGTTTTTACGACATGTTAATTGGTGATCCTGGCTGCATTTACATTCATTTACACCAACCAACTCAACACTGGGCCCATATGATGGGTTGCTATATTCTCGTATTTTGAGTCCATATACAGTGGGAGGCTCGTGCTCCACAGTGAGGATCTAAATGGACTGGTGATGAAAGTCATAACTAGCAAATAGGTATAGTAGAATCCCGATTATCCGAACCTCTAATATCCGGACTTCTGATTATCCGGACTCATTCATCTCAGCTTTAATTGACAACTTAAATTTTTTTTCACAATGCAACAAGTTATGATTGTGTACCTAGGTCCTGCGATTCTGTAAAATCCACACCCGAATTCGAATTCACTCAGAGGGAATTTACTTCAATAGCGGCAACCGCTCAACTTTGAATTGGTTATAACGGATAAGTGAAGTGAGTTTTGAAATTACAAAGGAATAGAATATTTGAGACACAAATACAAAATAAGAGTTGATTCATACAACTTTTATTTTGTAAATTTTAAAATTTTGAAAATTTTGAAAATTTTAAAATTGGTTAAATTTTTAAAATTGTTTGATTTAACTTTGAAATCTATTATACAGAATACACCTCATTTTAAATGATCCGGATAATCGGGATTCTACTGTATTACACTGAAAAAAAAAATCTTGTAATTATTATTTAACTAAAGTAATTAACTGAATTTAAAACAACAATGTGTAGGTAATAAATAGATGCTATTTTTCAGGTATGAATACATAAATAACATAAAAGTCATTAAAAAAGTTAAAATCTTTGCATATATTGTAACCTGGCTTGAAATATTTAGCTATACAATTCTATTTCTGAAATTTAAGTACTTTGTAATTTTTAACTACTACACTGCACTACCAGGCCCTTTGAGCAGCTCCCTTGTTCTGTAACTCGGACAACTTTCAAGACTACTGAAATAAATTGTTCACAGAGCTCTTCTAAGCAACCCGTTATCTCGCGGTTTTGGTATTTTGTAACTCGTTTTTAATGAATCAGTAATCCCTAGCCAGTTGCTATATATATATATATATTGTTTTTCTATTTGTTTTTCTATTTAGGTTGACGAAAGATGAGTTCAAGCAGCTTACTGGGAATATAAATGATGTCCTGCAAATTCATGAACAGTTTTTAGCGTTATTGGAAGAATGTGCTATGAAGACAGGTCCTGATCAAAGAGTTGGCGGTCTTTTCTTGCAATGGGCGCCTAGAATTAAATCTGTTCATCAGATATATTGTGCTGGTCATCCCAAAGCAGTGTGTATACTGGATAAGTACAAGTTAGTACAAATTATTACAGCTTGCATGATATTAAATTATTATCACTTGAGGAGCTTAATGACGTAGTGGTAAGCGCGCTCGGTCTGCAAAGTGGTTGTTAAGCAACTTTCGCAATGGCCAGATATAGGATGGGTGACTAAAAATATATTTTATCAAGCTCCTCTTCTCTCTCTGCTTTGAAAGGCACATTAAGCCGTTGGTCCCAATTACATCTGCAGTCATAAATGCCTACCAATCTACACTGGCCCTGTGTTGTAGGTCATTCTCCCTATTTGATTCCAAAACAATAGGTAGGGCTGAGCCACAGCGTAATGACATTAATGGTGGTTTGATGTGATTACAGATTAAGAAATGTCATGTTGAATCATACTAAAAGCTGTTTTTATCTTTGAAGTGAATTATAATTAAATTTACAGGGAGGAATTGAACGCCTGGATGGAGAATGCCGGTGCTGTATGTCCTGGTGTTTTAGTGTTGACGGCAGGCTTGTCTAAACCGTTTCGAAGACTTGGAAAATATCCAGCGATGCTCCAAGAGCTTGCTCGGCATGTACACGAAGCCCATCCTGATAGGGGTGACACACATCGAGCATCCATTGTATATAAAGATATTGCTGTGAGTATGAGATTATTAGTCATTTCAATTGCTATTTTGTTTTTCTTTGTGTTTATTTAAAATCGTCGGCTCAGTGGTTAGCGCTTTCTGTCTGCGATACGGTTGTTAAACAACTTTCGTAAGGGCCAGTCATAGGATGGATGACCAAAATTTTACTATCTCGAGCTCTGTGCTTCGAAAAGCACGTTACGCCGTTGGTCCGGGCTGTATCTGCAGTAGTTAACACCTTCCAATCCGCACTAGTCCCGCATGGTGAGTCATATTCGATTCCATCCATGGAAAAGGTCTGATCCCCAGCAGTGGGGGACATTTAATAAGGCTGATGATGAAAAATTTTAAATTCATGAAACATTGCCATTTGACGTTAATATCTTGCTTAGTTTATTGTGTCACCAATGTTAAAACAAAAAATAAGTTATTCTTGATGAAAAACGCTTAAAAACTCTACATTGTTCCTGGCACTTTCAACCTTTCGCAATTCGGGCTACTACTCTCTAACCACTGAGCTGAGGACCTAACAGGACTGACGAATTTTTCAAGACTTTTCGCTACAACATACCATTTATTATAGCACTGTGAATGCAAACAAAATTGATCGAATGTAATTAAAAAAAGTTGTTTACATTATAGAGTGGCTGTGCAGCATTGCGCCGTCAAAAAGAACTGGAACTACAAGTCGTAACTGGTGAAGTTCGCGGCTGGCCTGGTGGCGAACTGGCCGCGTTGGGAGATGTCTTACATATGGGAAGTGTCGCTGTTGGTCCGTCTCACCAAGACCGCTATCTTGTTTTATTCCCATCTGCTCTATTGTTGTTGTCAGTTAGTAAACGAGTTTCTGCGTTTGTGTATGAGGTATAACAACACAATTCTTTCATATTTTCAAGGTGATATAATACTTGAGTAATAAATTCTATTATAAACATTGTTTTAGGGTTGCCTTCCATTAACGGGTATTACTGTATGTAAACTTGATGATACGGATACAAGGAAGAATGCATTTGAAATTAGTGGACCTATGATAGACACTATTGTAGCTGTATGTCAGACAAGAGCTGAGGCTGACAATTGGGTCAGTTTATTGCAAAAACACTCAAACACAAACAGTCCTACTCATGAACCAGGGCAGCCGCAGTCTTTACCCCATGTGAGTACTCTTGTAATTAGAGTGTTAAAGATTCGTTTTATGTATTTTGGTTTGATGATAAAGAATTTTATAATGTTCCTGTTAGTTGGCCCGCTCTCCATCCGAAGGAGCGTTGTCTAGCATCAACACTTGCCGCCGAAGTCTTTATCACGTAACTCTGCCCCCGCCCAGCTACCCTTCTGCATCTCCTTATTATTCATTGACCAAATATTTTGCGAGACTCGTTAAGAAAAAAGTTATAACTAGACAAATGTTACGTAAACTGTTACACGAGAGAACATGGGTGAAAGCTTTCGAGTTGTCTGGTTTACCTGTAATGCGACGGCATAAGAATCGTATACGTTTGAGGATTGGTAATGATGGGACTATTGGTACCGAGACGGTGTACTCCGACAGTGACAGGAATTCTGATGATAGTGATCGGGAAACCGATACTACTGAATCTTACACAACATCCAGTTGCACTGATACTGATGCCCTCGGTAGTTCTAAAATATTTAGACAAAACGCTTTAGACAACTCTAGTCCTCGCGCAGTTTCTTCAAACTGCAGCAGTTGGGGGAGTAATTTTGGGTATGTAAGGTGTTTTGATAATACTGCAGATATTAATTTTGATGAAGAACATTCAATTATAAAAGGAGATTGCACAAAGAATATATTTAATTATTTACCCCGGCTTAATGATAGCATCGACGAGAATTTACTGATTGGAGATTTATCAATAGAACAGATGGATAACTTGAAAGTTCTTAAACAACATTCCGAAAGTACTGGACATTCTAGTTTTGAAGTTAAACCATATATGGCTTGTGAAGATTTAGTAAATATGGATCAGAACTTGCAAATAGGTACTCTAAATAATGATGAATTGGACTTCATACCTACAAGACGTAGCTTTCCTGATTGCAGAAATAAATTAGATACAGTACCAAAGCTTTGGAAATCTACTGAAGAAAATTATTCTCGTGACGATGTTGCGTATGAGGATAATTCAATGTCTGATATTTTGGAAATATTAGCTCCTCCTTCATCGCCTAACCCATGTCGAGCCAACGCAATAGATTCCATAATCATCGATCCACCACCGATGTTCCGAAACTCTGAAGAAGATATGAAAGTTATAAATGTTAACCTTAACACCAACATACCGTTTAGAAAACATTCTCTTAACTCGGATAAAAGAATCAGACGATCGTTGTCGAAATCAATGGTTGAAACAGAAAGTTACAATAAAGAGGGCGATTCTCGTATTCAAAGAATGAGTTCTCAATCGGAAAATCATAAAGCCAACAAAAAATGTGAATGTTGCAACAGGTCTTTATGTCCAAGCCCGAGATCGTCGGATTCTGGCGTTGTAGGAAGTTGCAACCTCGCCTCTCCTGAATTAAATATGCATGAGTATTCAGCTTCTGGAAACAATGGCAATGAATCGGATAGTCAAGATAAAAAATCTTTGAAAGGTTCTCTTACAAATTTACAACAGGAATTAAATCTATCTAATGTAGATAAATCCCGCCGTAAGAAGTTAACGTTATCAGAAATAGAAGCAGCAGCATTTGAAGATCAGTGTAGATGTACTTCACCTTTTGGATCTACAGCTAGAACTTCTTGTGTGACGAGTGTTACTTCAGAGAATAGTTTGGATGTGATTGATTCGTCCAACTCAAATGTCACATCTACATTCACATCAAATCCTCCTGTAATATCACCACAGATTAAAAGAACCTCTATAAGGCGAAATATCGAGCGATACGTCCCAGAAATAAAAATGAAACCAGAACCGCCGCCGCGCTTATACCGAAAGCCGAGCACTCATTTAGAAATTCCAAAGAATGTACGTCAACACGTGCCGTGCCAATGGGGCACTCTTAACATTACTGAACGTACGAAACCCAGTTTGCATTACCATATGCGCATATACAAAGATAATTCTGAACATAACAACAGACAATCTCGTGCGAATAAACCACGGAATCGTGATATATTCGATAAACAGTCTGATGGTAATGCAGCTTATACTCAAACGAGGAAAACGAGGTCTCGTAGCGAAGATTTATCGAAAATGCAGAAGGGTTTATCAGAGGCTGGGTCTGGCTTCATGGTATATCGGTCAGACTTGTACGCGCACTGGTGGATGAAAGCAAAGTTACCCATTACCGTGGTCACCGACTCAGGCAAGGATCACTTTGTAAAGAGATACTGTTTTGATGTATCCAACGGTTTGAAGATTGCCTTGAATTTATAACCGCTAGATTAATGCTGTCATTAGTTCCCCACTATTGCAGTGCTTTACTTGATCATCCTTGCCTGTGTTTATACATCTTACTAACATAAGAAAACCATTAGATCTCACTGTACTAACAAATGAAGAAAATATGCATGGAAAGGCTTGAGTTATGTTCTGCGTATGAACATCGCGAGAAGAGTGTGACAATGCCAATTTTATTCAGCTATGGCATTTAAAAAACCCGTCGGAACGTGGCCTTATTTTTTCTATAGTATATCTAGTTTTTATAGATGTTGGATTAACTAATACGCACCTGTATTATACAACATTTTGTTTGTTTAAACACTAAAAATGGTATTGTTAGCAAATGGAAATTGCAAAGTAAATGTCGACTATTATATATAAGTACATTATATTTGTATTTTTATGACAGAAAAAAATATTTATTTTACCAAAGTGATAAAGAATTTAAAAGTCTACATGTTAACACCATCGTAATCGTTAAGATTATTTAAGTAATTTTATACATCCGCTTACGTTTTCGCTTTTACAGATTGTTTAATTTTTTTTTATGAAACCTGTCAATCAGATAATGTACGATTTCGTAACATCTGGATTAAAGAATTTCAATATGTGATTTACTAAACAAAAAGTCGACGTTCATTCGCTGCATCTTACGAACGCACAATAACAGTTGCGCTTTAAATAGTTGTCCGATCGGCTGTTAAAAGCTTTTTTAATTATGACTGTGATCTATTTAGAGTTTTTTTTATGTTTATTATAACAAAATACGCTGGACTATTTTATGTTTTGTAACATAGAATATTTATATATTTTTTAATAATAATCTATTCATAGCCCTGGATACAGGTGCTCCAGCCGATACATTATATAATAAAAGCTGATATTTATAAAATAGCTACATACTTATATCTTTTCTACATTTTTACAAATATATTTAAACAAAGGTAAAATATGGGATTATTTTTCAAGTTGCCAGCGGGCAGAATTTCAAAGAATCTGTTTCAATTTCAGCAATGTCAATAATTACATGTTTCCCACAGATGACCATGAGCGAAAGCAATAACTCTGACTTATCTTCCGGATTGTCCAACCACAAAAGATCACACTCATTCAACAACCATCAAAGCTATACACAACATACGCAGCAAACTCAAAAAAATAAACAAAACCAGTCCGCACGTTGGCTATTAAATTCATGCGACTCCCTCGACCACTCGCCCGCTAAGACAAACAAGAACTCTATTGGAAAGAAGTTCTCTTCGGTGGATTTTATCGACATAAATAATTTGAACTACAGTAATAAAGGTGAGTTATTTATTTAATAAGTTGAAAAATCTTTATAACACTGTTTGGTTTTATCTTTTTTTCACAGCTGAAAGAATAATGGCTGTGCAAGGTGATTTTTTTTTTTTAATTTGTTTATCATTATATACCTGTCTTTAAATTTGACTCTTTACTCTTTGTTAGATTACAATGTATTAACTAAGTCGAACCGTTATACTTGGTACGTTAAATTTTCAACAAGCCAATTGCAAGATGTTAAATTGCAGGAGAATGCACGGGAAGGATGTGAATCGTTCACATTCTCAAGCTTAAACAAACACAATTCTTGTTTACGCACCACGCACTAATTATATTTTGAATTGATATCACTTTCATGACACTTAATGAAACCCCTTATACGATTAAAAACTAATTATAAACAATAAAATAGAAATGTTAAAGTGATCAATACGGTAGTTTTTGATATACTCTGAGGGTAGTCATAAAAAAAATACTCAGGCATTATGCAAATTCTATTTAATCCGTTCGTTTGATAATAGAAAAATATTAGATGCGTTTTTTTGCTTCAATAGGGGTGGAGACAACTTTTTTATACTTTTATTTTATAGATATACATGAAATATATAATTTATACATATTTTATTAAATATTTATTTAAAAAACATTATAACAAAAATTTATTTATTTTTGTCAAGTACCTAAATACAGTTTCATAGTGTAATCTTTGGCAAAGTTCCCAATGTGAACTCTATCCCTAACCTATACCAAACATAAAATCGGTTCAGTGGCGTGAAAGCGAAACAGACAGAGTTACGTTTGTATTTATAACATTAGTAGTTATTAAATATTTCTTAAGATGAAGTGGGAAATATTGAAAATTAATTTTATTTTTAGATTTTAACTTATTATATGTATGATATTTTTTAATATGTATTTTTTAGATATATTTCACTGTAAAACAAAAACATAAACAAATATTTGTCTACACCCCTATTCCTTCATGTACTATTCACACTTTTTATTTGCTTTAAAGAAAAATAGAAGGAAATAGAGAAAGAAACACGGACAGTTATATTACTAATATTGCGCCTTGAAAATAACCCATTCAAAAATAAACTCACTCGAGAGCTAACGCCCAGCTCCCTATACCAAAGGACTTTGTAATTACAAGGGAGTTAACCGAATAAATATATTTTAGGGTGGAGTGTAACATGTTTGCGTCCCGCACCGCCTCTGAGACCACAGTCGTTTACGATAGGCTCAGACGAAAATATTGGACCGACCCATCCTTATGCGCCGCACCAAAGAAAATCCAACTCTTACGAAGAAGACGCACTCATACTCAAAGTCATAGAAGCATACTGTACCTCAGCGCGTTGTAGGAACGCCGTAAGTTCCGGTAAGTAAATTATAATTTCACCTTATTTATTACCTTAGCGTTGACCCGATGCGACGTGCGATTTGTCAAGTGCTCGCGACAAATAATGGTCGTTTTGTTAAATTGCTATCGTTATGCTAATTATTTTGAACATTGTTACCTAATAGCGGTAATTAACAAGCAGATCATTACCATCCCGAGACTGGCGGTTAATTAATGGTCACTGGTTCTTTTCTAATTTTAGATTACATTAGAATATTTTAGAATTGTGACTGCGTTGAAATAAAATGTAGACGAACTTTGGTTTCATAGAATGTTATAAACTTACTGTAACATTATATTGGCGAGGGTTCCTACTAACAATGCTGTATTTATTATGCAGTACCCAATATACCACTGGAGATATTCGAGTCCACAAGGAGGAGACATGCAAAATCAAGAAACCGTATAATCAGTTGGTTTTTGGAATAAAAGATCTGTATTTATTTAATAAACCAAATATCGCTAGTCATATAAAAGTTAGCGCTTCTGAATATTATAATCGTTGTTAAAGTATTGTTATCGTTGGTGTATTATTTAACGCACCGATGTTACTAAATACTATATGTACATACATACTCGCAAATTATTATGATATGAGCACATGTCTCTAAATGCATGATAATGCAGCATGCTTTCGTAATGTAACTATCTCTTTTACTCATAATATTTTCTCGTAGATCTGAGTATACTTTTATCTGTAACTATAGGGATGTATAGTAGCTTTTAGCAAAATATAAACTATCTCATATTTAGTTTAGATATAATCAGTACAAAGTAGCTAGTCGTTATCGTGGTACTGGTCAAACGTGGTGGTATATCGTTTTGTTTTTAGAATTTTTGCAAGTAAAAAATATTGCTCGCCCTTTTACTCTCCTTTGAGCTGAAAGTAATGAGTATAATCTTGACATTTGATTTTATTTATATGCAGACATTGCTGTAATTTAATATAATCGCATAATCTGTATAGTTTTAATAATCTATTTATTAGTAGGCCTTACGCTATTATCATAAAATATTTAATGTTTCTGCATTTTGCAAAATAATAAGCATTTTATAATTTATAATTGGCGACGTTACTAACAGATTAATAACAAGCCTCGACTCCGTAAATTCTTCCAAAGCGCGAAGTGAATATAAAAATCTAACTGAACACTGGCCTGTTTCTTTGAGACGAGGTAGTCTGAACCTTTCTATTTTGTTACATGCGGCTGCCTATTTATCGCACCTGCAGTGGATTGCGGCCACTTGTCTGTCGGTAAAGTACAATATCACGCACTCGCTACTAACATACCTCACTATAACTATACTAAACTGCCGGTCATCCAACGGTGTGAGACTCCCGATCGTACCGGCTGTAGCAGCTCCACGAAAGTGAAGCGTAACAAGAGTTCTTCGGCGGCTGACGCGTACCTGTATCGGCCGGACACTAGGAGGCTGCTATCGGAGAGGAAATTCCAGTTGAATCGCTCGAATCCCAATCTATGGGAATGCGGGGAGGAGCGTAGGCAGAAACTGAATTGTGGGCGTGACCGAAGGAGCGGTTCTCATCCGAGTCTAGCTCAGTCTAGGGCGCCGCTACTTGCCCCCGCCCCCGCAGCGGTACCCCGCTCCGCTAGATCTTCAACATGGTGTTGCGGCACATTTATCAAACAAATACAAAAGTCTCATCATTTCGACTGACACAAGTAGACTCACCTTTCGGTGGACGTTCAAAACACACCCATCCTCGTAACGCTAGATCTCACTAATCTTTTAAAATAGTTCTCGTACTATCCAGACCATGAATGCAATACAAATACATTTCACCTTTACGAAATATGCAAAAGCTCTCGATAGACTGAGAATAAATCTTCAGATGTGCGTGATCATTGTGTGGTGTCCCTCTGCTATTAACCAAAGCTAGCGACTAATTTTACTTACACACAGTGGCGTTTCACAATTTTTTTTTTTGTTACGGCATAACATTTTCCTAATGTCTGTATGAAAATAAAGCTCTTTTTGTTGACCCGTCATTGTTTAATGTACACTGTTTGTACATTGTCGACGTTCCATTCTATTGTACTATATCTGCTTTATATACTTAAGGTGAGATTAATTAAACTAGTTGCGAAACTTCTCAGGGGTTGCGCTATCGATAACTTGACACTTTGAATCTGTTATGTTGTCGTCAGTTAACCGACTTTCTAACGAAATTGCGTGTGCTAATTAAATTGGAGCTGTACAATGTTACTCGTTGTTATATAAATCGCTTAAAATGTTGCGATTTTTTTTATAGGGAACAATTCATTAAGAGTGCTCGATACGTTATAAATTGAATTTATGTTTACATGTTTCATTAATTATCTGTCGTCAGTGTACTATCATAATATAACATTATTTATGAAGAAAATAATTCAAATTCATTTGCAGTTACCAGATACTTGTATTAATTGATATTTATAAAAATATATATATATTATGTATTATTATTATTTGGAACATCTTATGAATATGTTAGTGTGTATTTTAAAATTAACAAGCCTTATAATGCGTGTTATCTATGTCTACATAGACTTAGAATTCATTTAATGTAAGTGCATGGATGCAGTATTATTTAATAAGCATAAATATTTCGAAAGCTTTTTAATATAATTGTAGTAGAACTATGGTGCATTAATAACTTGGTGCGTATTAGCATGATAAAGTAGTGCTGATTACATAATTAAGTTGATATTTACATTTATAGTTATGGTTGCATATTTTATTGCGCATGATAGCGATAATTGTGATATCCATATAGATTTATGAATCCTTTAAAACTATTTATAAACTCACTCATCAGTTGATGTTTCCGTATTAAAGGTATATACGTTCGTATATACGTATACGTTCGGAGTGAGTATCGGATAAGAAACAATTTCCTAAAACGGGAAATAGAATTTCACGGAGACGAAATCACGGTACAAGTACACTGTAAGAAATGTTTAACCGAGTCGAATTACAACAAGCGTGTTATGTATTTGAAATAGGATCTATCATTTCTCGAGATCTTCGAGAGTAGGTTCTATTCTTGGCAGTCTTCTAAAACTCAATTGTTTTATAATTGTTTTGTAAAATAAAAAAAAATATTAATTTACAATAAAAAATAATAATTTCGGGAAGAATATTAATATATTCGAATTTAAATTATTTTATATAGGGTTTTTTTTTTAAATTCACGGTTAATCCCCATATCTTTATACAAAATATGATGTAGTTTTCTTAACGTCAATTACAGTATATTTAAACATATTGTTTTGGTCACAAAAATATAAAAGGCTCTATTATTCTAATATATAGCTATTTAAAATAGCAAAATATGTTATAATGCAATGTTATTTCAATAAATTTGAACACATAGACACTGTTTATTTATTATATCCTAGGGATGAAGGACAATTCGCTACGTTGGATATGCGTCATCACTATATTTATGTCGTTCGGGCATAAAGATCAATTTCCTAGATAATTTCATTTTCTTGAACACAATCCACCTTTCGGAAAGAAAATGTATCATCTGGCTAATTGTCACTTTTACTATTGTAATGAAGGATAATATTTTACATGCACTAAAGTTTAGTTTATCATATTAAAATCTATGAAATTTTTATATAGAATGATATACGGCTGGTTTCTGTATTGAGAAAAGTACAAAATCTCCACTGTCGTGTATCAAATTTCTATCTGATCTTAAAAAAAAATCAGAAACAAAAACCTGTTTAAGTGACGTTTGAAATGGTTTAAGTACGGTTTGTGAAGTGCTTAACTTTAAATTCTCAATTCAGAAACCAAAACAACCAGCAAAATGTTTTATTTTTATTAAGATTTTTTGGATTGAGACTTTACAAATAAAGTATATCTGGGTTATTATAATTTTAAACTCTGATAATTCGGCTCGTACTTGTGTTATTATGACGTTCATTATGTTTTCATACAAAGAATTCAAAAATTCCTTGTTTCGCCTCCTTCGATGCTTTCCATTTGGTTTGGCTAGCGTCTTCCTTAGATTTTAAATAGATCAATACTATTAGCATCCATACTAGCCCACGTAAAGTTGCTATAAAAATAGATTTCCTACTATTGTCATATTCTCTTATTGTCGATGACGAATTGATGACACAGTCCCAGACGGCTGACAGATGTTCGGATTTTCGTAAATAAATCCGAAGTTTCGTCCTTGAATCGTTTGACTTATAAAAAAATAATCCATCCTATAGGCCAGGGTTATCTACACCTTAATTATAAAAATGGATAATAATTTTATGCATAAAAATATCAATGGATAATGATCAAAATTGGATAGTGAATAATTATGAAATTCAAGCAAATTTAATTTAATGATATACATAACTTTTTTTCTTAATAAAATTCAAATATTATTATAAATGACAAATTAATAATGTATTTGTATTCAATAATGAATTAATTTAAATCCTATATATTTAATCCTATGAAACTGAAATTTGTATGAGAATCAATAAAAAGGCTTTTTTATTTATTTATTTTAATAATTTTGTGCAAAAATGTTAATTACTAAATTTCAATACTTAACTCAGAAGTTATTAAATAAAACACGATAATGTTTTTTTTGCAACAAATAAGGTTAAATGTGAAGACTTTAAAAACAACAATTACTTTTTATTTTTAAATTCGAATGTGAAATATTGGTGTACCTATTCCATTTAATTTAATTGTGTTTGTATTATGGAAACTGACTGTAAAATGTTACCTTTCGCCATAATGCTTTAATGTAGTTTCGATTCGATTGTTTCTTTTAAAACTGATCATAGTATTTTCCTGAAAAAAGTGTACATGAAAAATACAGTCTGTTCTCGGAGACTCGACTCTCGGGGAACTTTCGGTCGGTGCCATCCTGAGACAAATTTTCCAATTATTTTTTAAGATAAATATTATAGACGGAGAGCTCGTGAAAAAAAAGCTTGATATTTCTACTAAAGGTATACATCACTCATTACCCAGTGTCAGGTCTGGCGCTGGTACACCTGTTGGCGCGAAACAAACTTCTAGCGATTGCTGAATTTTTCTGTTGCATTAAATGAAAGTCTTGAGTATTTTTTACGGACTATTTGATAATTTAGTGATAAATTAACTTTCAATTATAACATAACTCTTTATCGGAGCTCATTTCCCCACAAACTTCTGAGATCTGCTCAGTCGCCGTGTTTAACGATCGTGCAATCAGAACAGCATAGTATTTAATGTTTCGAAAGTTTAAGTATTTCTTTCGTGGATTGCCTGAATACTGATGAAAATAAGCTCTGTAGTAGCGAAAAAGTAACAATAGCTTGAAAAATTCGTCAGTCCTGTTAGGTCTTAGGCAGCTCAGTGGTTACAGCAAGTCGCCCAGATTACCAAAATCATGGGTTCGAGTTCCATCTCTGTGCCAGGGGCAAAGTGGATCATTTAAGCATTTTTTATTAAGAATACATTGTGTTACGATTTTTCGTACTTTACATTGCCTCTCTCCCACCAGGTGTTCCGACGCCTGACCCCCGCACTGAGTACTGAGTGATATACTCTTAGTACTTAGCATTATGAATTAATCAAAACTCGCTTATTGTAAGGTACTGATTATTGTATCTTTACATATTTTGTTTTGTGTACTGATGCTGACTTTACACATTTCCGAACATTTAATTGCACAGACTGCAACTCTAAGCATAAATTTACCACTCATAATGAAGGTGAAACTTTTATAGGGAGTATTCCAACAATTTGTTACAGAAACTACAACAAGAAATTAAATACCATTTTATTTCCATCATTTGTATTTAAAACAAATAAACGTTCAACTTTTTATCTGATGCTGAAAGCTGATATTAAATTAGTAATAGAGTTAAAATAAGCGAGTGTTACGTACAAGCTGGATATAGTCTCTCCGTTCGTATGATTAGGTTCGCGAAAGTACATGTATACGTAATTTTAATAAAGCCTTTTAACAGGCATTTTAAACCGTGTTTATTTGAAGAGGTCGTGTACACGTAAAATTAATAACCTTCAACTGGTTTTGTACTATGGAATAACGTCGAAATAAGCTGTAATTCAGAATGAGGAAACTACATGACATTTGTAAGGGTTCTATAATATCCAAAACGTGAATTTATAATTCTCGATAGAATAAAATGTCAAAATTACTCCTAGAATTCTTCCATTTCTTGTTGTAATTATACCTTTTCTTATACGGAAAATTGGTAATACGTCAGTTTGTCGGCCGTTTTTTCTGTTCCTCTATCTAATTTTTCGATGCAGTGTGATACAGACCCCTTTTTAAGTCTGCTCATTTATCTCAAATGCATTTTTATGCTAGTTTTTTTTTTTAATCACAGATGGTTGAAATTATGCGAAACAGAGAATGAACTGCTAATGTAGACAAGTTGGGCACGTTATTTGGTTGTGTGTAATCAAAGCGGGCAGTGGTCGGCCGCCGCGTGATTTTCATTTAATAATTAACAGGATAGCGCAGCGAGCCGCATGCAACACTTACATTATCTGTGTTCCCGCGTCAAACTCGTGCCAACGACAACACTGCAGCCTAATCTACACCACACAGTCGAATGATTTTTTAATAGAACAATTACGACAAATTAGTTATCCCTCGACAACGTAGCTCAAACTTTAGTGCCGTTTCAAGACTTTCTCTCACTTAAATGCTTTTAGAACTATCATTTGCTTTACTGACGTTTAAAGTTAAATACGTGTGTTCTCGTTGAACATGTCTAAAAAACGGCAGACAGTTACTACAGACAATGTTGTTTTTAATTAGTATGTAGTCTGGGTCTTTATTCAAAAAGCTGTTAAAAGCTTCTCTAACGATAGCTTAAAGCTCCGTGTCTCTTACAACATTAGTGTCTTTGTAAAGTGACGGTAATTTTATTTAAATTCAGTCGGAAAACAGATTTTATAATAAGTGCTATACTTTACTAGGAGTATTAGAAACACGATGCTTGTGATGAAACTAAACCATTAGTTTTGCCTTCACAAACTGCTGTAGACTTATTATTTGCATTAGCTATCAGTTAATTTCTGAAACTGCTATTAATTTATTTACTAATATATAATATAAAAAATTAACTAATATAATTAGTAAGTAAATTCGTACAACAGTTTGAAACTCATCTCAATAATGTATTGAAACCTTAAAAGAGGCTATTTTGTTACAGGGAATACTTTTTAACAGAATTAAACTGGTTTTTTTCCTTATTGCTTTCTTGTGTGCTTTTTATTACGTCGTAAGAGAATCAATGAAATCACTTAGTAAAGGTAACATTCGGGGTAGGCATTCTTGTTTCTAACCAAAATCATGTTTATTTCTTCAATTCCAATCCAATGAATTTTGTTGCTTCCATATAATTGTTAACCGAATTTCAATCAAAAAGAAGGTTTCATATTAATTTCCATGTTTTCTATGTGTATTCACCACCGATTTTTCAAAATATTTTGTTTTTTCATTAAAAAATTCTATCTTTAATGAAATATGTTGCCTTTAGGGTACGGGAGTGATGGATTTTTAAAACATTTTTCAATAAAAATATTTATGAAAGTGAATGCAAAATTTATGAAATATAATAATAAAATTATGCTTCCAATTTTATTCACTTGTACAATTTATGTAGATATATCGTCGACGTAAATGAGGTAGCTGTTATGCTTTACTTTGACCTTTGTTTCATGATTTTTTTTTTTAAATTATCTTTAATAGTAAAATAACGATGTTTCATCCACTGCTGGGACGCTTATGAATTTATTTAGAAAAGGAAAATTTACAAAAAGCCACGCTTCGCTTATTTATGTAATGTTATAATAAGTGTAAATGTGTGTTGTTTGTGATGCTATCTCTGTCTTTAGATGTTTAGCGTATAGTTCTGGTTTAATAGGATACCTTGTATAGGAGATTCTCTGGGGTTTGCTATTCTACTAAATCTTGTTTAGAGGTTAGACAAACAATACTATTACCCGGTTTCTGAATTGAGAATTTAAAGAACGCCTCAAACTGTACTTAAACAGGTTTTCGTTTCTGATTTAGATTTTTCTATTATTATTCGATAACAGTTTGTTAAAACTAGGACTTTTTGACATACGAAATGTAAAAAACAAAAACTTAAGTTATTGAGAAAAATTATATGAGATTTTGTACTTTTTTTAATTCAGAAACCGGCCGTGTGTCATTAGTTCCATCTATGATGCGTTTGATAAATACATTTCAAAGACGTAATAAATTGGCAGTAAAAACCAAAGGAAAGATAATCTAAACGCTAGATTAGCAAAATGTTCATAAATACGCAGGTATAGATAATAATGTTGTGTAAATATATATACCTAATAAAACTGTTTCATTAGAAGATCGCTGTTAAATACAGAACCTAAATATTAGATAGAGATATCTTTACAATGACTAATATGATGAAATAGTTTGTTTACTTAGTAATAATATTTGTTTCGAATAAATAATCTTAATTATTTTGTTTGTCAAATAAAATGAATACTTCTCTACACGACAGTATATAAATCATATTGTATTTAGATATGGTAACACTGCCTGTAACGCGATAATAATAACAGTTAACATTTTCAGTGATCGTAACCCAAATTAAAACACCAAAAACGTGTCCATTCAAGTTGTTGTTCCGAAAAAGGCTATTTTGTGTTACTTTTACGATGCATTAAATATTAATATACTTTTTTTAACGTAATATAGCCAGTCCGACTAACTAGTCTAAATAAATATAATGTAAATACTCTTTTTAAACTCATGTTTGTCCTAATTATTTTTTTAATAATCAGGTAAGAGATTTTACAATAAGGTTCCTTTAAACAGGAATTCGAGACAATCCTCCTCTAGACATCAATTACGAATAATTATAGAGAATAACTTGAACAATAAGGGTATCCGTTTTCTAAGCACGAATTCTGTAATTTCCAATTTCGATAAGTTTCGTTATTTCCTTCAGCTCTACAATAGACGCCTGTTTACTGCCGACAGGCTCTACCAAACTGAACAAAGAGCTTTCGGTGATTTGACATATTGCACCTTACTCCTGATACGTATTCTCGTTAGAAATAAAGGAACGACATTGTTTTTCCTTCAAATAATGAGCAAATCTTCTCTCTTATTAAATTTTAAACAACAATAATGTGCCATTTTACGAATAATAAAGCAACAATTCGGTTTTGATTTTCAAAACGATCATCTACTAAATCGCTAAAAGAAAAACAAAAAAAATAAGTAAGTTATTGAGCTATGATGTTAATGTAGTATCTGTTATATAAATTTAAAAACAACCCTTTCTTTATTAAAGAGTACAATAAGAAAACCTTTTTTGCCTGAAGACATCTTAGTCGTGTATGAATATATTTAAGGAAGATATATAACACGAAGAAAGTTTCTCCTTTGACAATGTTCCATACGGAGGTTTCTTTATAATAAATAATTCATTATTCACTCGCATCGTACGTTATAACGGTTAGGCACAGCCGGGTTTGGGCAATGGCGTTGACAAGAATAGGGGCTACATAATAAGTTATCCAAGCGGATTGTTACGAAGATAATCTGAGATGTTACACACCATGTGTTTTGTATACATCAGTTGAATAGATTTATAAATTATTCAACGTGTTATGTACCCGCTTGTAGCGAGATATCTCGTCAGCTTTATTGTGTAGTTTAGATCGAGTACCTTTGTCTACTTACTAACAATACATATTTGTGTACTATGTATTTATTTGTGTATACATAAATAGAGATGGTGACTATGAAAAGAAATTCTATTTAGTTCGTCAATCAGTTATTAGACAAAAATTAGATACATTTCTTTTTTACTTCATGATAGGCATTGAAGTTTATTTGGGGCCCACTACGTCACAACTATGTAGAAAATTTACAAAGGTGTGACGCCATGTGACATTTCAACTCAATGTAACACCCGACGTAATTTATCGATTGCAAAAAAAAAGTTTATTAATATTTTTCAATGAACTACCTGACGAACAGACAAACAAAAATTAGTCATCATCCCTATTGTAATCTTTTTGTGTTGTCGTACATTATTTTTTTTACATTTACATATATTTAATGAGACTATCTCGAAATCATCCAAGACATGTCATGTTTTCTTATTTCATTTTCTTTCTTGAAATGTAAATTCTGATTTAGAGACAGTCCCTTTAATATTGTTTTGTAAATCCTCATCTAGTCATTAAAGGTATTAAAATATAATTGATTTACAAGTCGATGAGGTATTAATTACATGTAATTTTACTGTGAGCGTGGTGAGGATATCATTATAGATTTTTAAATATATGCCACCTTAACATTAGTACTATCAATGCGTAACTAGCTCTATGTAGTTATAATACCATTTATGTTAAAACCTTATTCACGCTCACACCAAAAAGTAATGAGTAGTGTAGCATAGATAATAAATTTAATATAATCGTGTGTTATATTGCTATTTATTTTTCTATTGAAATTTATTGTATCTGCTATAATATTTTTTAAAAATAAATCTCTGATATTATAATTTTATGCATTATTTATTTAAACCTTAAGATACATACTTACATTAGTAACATTTGAATGCCGCAACGAAACTCCACTCTATTAAACGTATTAACTATACAGCATTGTAGTTGTCTGCACATTTTGATATAAATAATACTAACTACAAGATTAAGTAAAAAGTATATTTAATATTTTCTATAATAGACGAAGATACATTTTATTTATTTTTTCTAAATTGTATATAGACAAAGGAGTACGTACGCCTTTTCATTATAACTTATAAAAATATATTACATAAAGCCTACCTCGATAAATTGTCTCTCTTCATATAAAGGTGGGTACATAATGGTGCTATTCAGTAACAATTTAATCCAGTGTGTCACGACACTAACCCATTGTAAGCTAAATTTGGATCGAATGTCACTGAATAGCTGAGTTAACTGAAGTGTTAAGTTTACATCTCGTATCATATTTGTAATTCTGTTTGCAGAATGCGACGACGAAATTCCTTCGATAGAAGCGTTAGTCCGATCACCTTCTTTACCAATCCACAACACGAATATCCCACCTACCATCTGGACAGTCGTGATGCGATTACAAAACGAAGTGAAGACGCTCAAGTTGGATGTGAAAAATTTACAACTACAATTAAACGAGGAACGCCAGGAACGTACTCTTGCCATAGCCGCTTTGCAATCCAAAAATATATTGAAAGATGCTAAAGAAAGCAAATGTTAATAACGTCTATAATACTAACGTTATATTTGTTAATCATTCTACAAGTATTATTAACTTACTGAATAAATATACCAGTTTATATAAGAAATCAGTTTGTCGTTTATTTTTTATTTGCATTCACAATGACAATTATTTCCATTCTGTTCAGAATGCTCAATTTCCAAAATTTACTCTTACCGAAATTAGTAATTCTAGATATCCTTAGTTTCCAAAAAAATGATTTTTTAACCATGTTTCATTAAGAATAGCTTGCTATTCAACTAGCTTGCTACATATGTGTATACTACAAACATATCATGATAGTAGATTGGACTTTAGAAATTTGTCATTCTGAACTAAAATGATTTATTATGTATTTTTCTTCGATTTATCTGTTATGCGGAAAAGTCTCAAAGCTGACGAAATTTATCACAACATCAACACAATACAAGGAAATTTTATAATTTAATTTAGGAACTTGACGAATATGATTTACGCTTTACGATAAAAACGTGTAGATATTTTAGTTTGACTGAAATCTTATCATTTTACTGAGTAATTCATAAATGTTCTGTCCGTCACAAAGAAATTTATTCTTGCGAAATTATGACGCTGTAAAAGTCGAGCAACTCTGTAATTTAATTGTAACACAATGTATAAAATTCGTTATAATATTGTAGAACACTTTCTGAATCCAATTTATGAACGTAATATGACAGAATGTTAAGACTATAGATTTGTTTAAGGGACGGTTCAATGAGCGCTCATTCGTGGACAACAACGTAGAATGCAGAGTTATGTTTCAGTGTTATGAAAACTGACGCGCACGAAAATATTTTAAACATTGTATTCAGCAGGCGTTTGGAGTACGTGATGTTCATTGGTTTCTTGTTCTTGTAGCTCGCTACAAATACAGGTTACAAAGTTATTCTGTTGTGAAATCTATTTAATTTTCTATTTCAATACTTTATGAAAAAAAAAAATTGTGAACTGAGTCTTAACTTTCAAATGTCGTAAGATAATTCTTGCTATAAAGCTGTAAAAAAAAAATAAAGAAACTGCTTTTGAAATAAAAACCAGGCGACAGGTGATAACCTTGTTTTCTAAGTGTGCCACTGTGTGTTATATACTCTAATTTGTATCGAGTAAAACTCATGGAAAATTTCAACGGGTCTTCCTCGTAACTTTAATCTCTGATTGATCTCTTCTTATGAAACCTTGAGTTTCTGTCAGATGAACTGTCAGTCTGACAGAATATTATGTTTAATTTTAACAGATCAACCGGGGCTTGAAGAATGTTGAAGACTGAAGATACACTGTTGTCTTATTAACGGTAGATGGCACTGTGTTATCAATACGAAATCCGTCAATTCTTTATTATCAAAGCTTGATAATAAAAGCTAGACCGAAATTACTCCACCGATTTGAAAAATCCTCTCAGCTACGGGATATCATACTAGTGATGTCACTAGCTATATTTACGCCGGCGAAGACCCAAAAGAAAAATTTACTACCTTATAAAAGTTTTTCCAATGATTATTTATTGAATACACACTCATTTTGTTGCACTTGATTCTATTTAGTGGCAATAATAACTAGATTTCTCGTCACTTAATGTCGTTGCCATTGTCTAATCTAAAGCTTTATTCGACAAAAGCGATAACTTCATTATAAATGAGAACGGGTGGAATTAATTAAGAGTGACAGTAGGTCGAGTAAGTCGAGTTAATATTTTATAACGAAGACGCCTAATCCTACATGAATCTTATATTGGATATGATGTGAGAGTTTATCAGCTAACGTTGTTAGTCAACGTTTTGTTTTTACAATATATTGACGAGAGATTTTAAATAAAAACTGGTTGATAAACTATAAGTAGCTGAAGCCCCTCGTATTATTAAGTATCTGAAACAACGTAGGTATCACACCACGCAGATCCAAGAGAACATAAAAAAAAAGTTTTCTATATTGCCCTATCCTGGATTGAATCCGGGATTCCGAGACACCGTGAAAACGACGTACGGGCTACTTTGATGGACGTCAATTTTTATTCTATTAAGAATTTGAACTTATGATGCTTTTCTAAAATTTTAAGATGACATCATTCTATGTATTCTACAGAAATCATTAAATTACACACTTATATTACCTATCTACAAAGATACTCTGTACTAAAATTGCTTGGTTGAATTATAAATCCGATTGTTTTATATTCATACTTCTTCAAATATTTTCTGTTTTATCATTGGAGGGGACGACAAACGTTAGCTTTTTAATTTCGTTTTCAATTTGTTGCCGGGGCCGTTCGTCACCTACCGTAAAATTTTGGCGTAAAAAAAAGAAGGTTGGCTATAGCTACCTACTTAATCGCGCGGTTTTTCTTTGAGGTTCAAAATTGAAGGCCTGCGATTATTGACGCGGTATGACGATACTGCGGTGGCGTAGTGGACAAGCGACGCGGCCCTCGATCGTTGTTATTAATATACCGTTGTAACCGTCGGTCACGGGATGGGTGACAAAAAAATATTATCTCGAGCTACTCCGTGCTTCGGAAGCTACGTTAAGCCCTTTAGTCCTGGCTGCATTTATGGTCGTTATTACTCTCCATGTGTGGTGAGGCCTATCCTCCTTAACCATCCATAAATGAGCCCCTGAAGTGGGGACATAAAATGTGATTATTGACAGCAAGACGCTCCTTGAGCACTCCTGCATCTCATAGACAGCACATACTGTCGGAAATTATGTAGGCAGGCATACTGTGGTGTTTACCATAACGCTTTAATTGTAAGGTTTAAGGTTAAATCTTAAGCATGTTGTTGCATTTTTAGGCTCACCAGGAGACGAATGATATAGGAAAATTTAGTATGGCAGCGGTTATGGTAACTCTACAACTACCATAACGGCCGACTAGATGCAATTTACGTTTTAGATAGGTGCAACATTAGGTACTTGTAAGCTGAAGCAAACTGTGACACAAATTATTTAGCTCCATTGGAGATCAATCGCCCCGTTGGCGAACGTTTTGAATCCCATCTAGTATCAACTCTCAGAGGCCTCTCGGTATTTTTATTTAGTTTTTATATGATGAATAGGATCTGCGGTCTGCGACACGGTTGTTAAGTAACTTTTGCAAGGGCCAAATATATTGACCAAATATTTATTATCTCGAGTTTCACGATGCTTCGGAAGGCACGTTAAGTCGTTGGTCCCGGCTGCATCTGTGGTCGTTAACACCCACCAATCCGCACTGGACCAACTGGTTCAAGGACCATTCTCTCTGATGATGATGACGAAATAGTTATCATAAAATTTCCTTATTATTACCATGCGCTTAGCTAGTGACCGCAGGTCTTGAATTTCCAGTTTAGATTACCGTATAAAATTAAAACTTGTTTTTGATGAGAGAACGTTTTTATTAAAGTTGAGCATAGAGGATCATTTGGACTAGTTACATACTTTAACAAGAAAATTAATTACAATTTTCCAACAACATATACAAATATTTTTTCTTAACAAATATAAAACAAATGCAGTTCTGCCCTGCGAAAAAGCGGCATTCGCTCAATCATGAATTGGTAATAACGTTTCGTGGTGAAAGTGAAGTAAATTTCAAAATGACATAGGAACAAAATATCTGAGACACGTATAATCAATCATTTTTTTTTTGTATTATTATACAAAAAATTGAATCTATAGAATTTCTTACTAAATGATGTGAATTCTGACAAATGAGTGAATTCAAATTCGGGTTCGGAATTTTACAGAATCGCCCTGCTAATTTTTAAAAATCTTAGATGATACAATTTATTGATGTTATAAGAAATTAAAGTTAGCTTACAAACAATTTATAAAGATATAATAGTTTTACCACTTCGTGAATGCTGTTTTGAATTTTGAAGCCATTTAAGTATCTACATTAGCATGGCAGGCGTTAGGCTAGCGCCTGCTATAAACATTTCCGTTACATTATTTTATTCATGAAAATACACTTGCCTCAAGGAATACGTAGTTATTAAGTAAGTAACACACAATATTTTATACAGCAACAAACACTTTAAAACTTAATAAGGCTTCTCTTTACTTATTATATTACACACCTCATTTCTCTTTGATTAATAAGGCGAGAAATGGAAAAAATATACGTACTTGGGGATCCGTCTTATTATGAAAGTAATATTAACTGTCTCATATTTTCACGCTCACAATAATTTTAAATTCATGAGATGCACATCCAATTTCTTCAGCTAATATAAAAAAGAGTGAGAATCTAATTACCCAACTTTCCTAGTCTGTACTAATCTCATAAAGAGGAAAGATTAGACTGTTTGCGAATTCGCATTGCTCTGAAACTACTGGACTTCTTTCACCTATGGGAGATATATCATATACGGGTAGTATAGGTTAAAATTTACGCAGGCGAAGTTGCAGGAAAACAGTTAGTAGGTAGTAAATAAATGGAAGAAAACATGTCATGCTTTATGTACATTATGCACTCTCTATGGCTGAAATATTCGATAGTGTGTAAAGTAAGCCCTTGCGAATATCTTAAAAAAACAGATGGTATATTATTTTTCTCATATTTTTTATATCAAAAAGGTTACAATGAAACAGGTGGTGAAATTGGTCTGTCAAGTATATGTAGCATCAGACGGATATTTATTTAGCGGCGAGGTATGTTCAAATACATACATATATTTTATTATGGGATCATTCGCGCACTGTTCTCAGTTTAGGTACCTATACCGCCCGCCTAACTTGATAAACAGTTTGTTAACTAGTGAATCTATAGAGCTAGTTAACTTGTTGCGTTTTTAGCTATGAAACGGTAGCGATCTCGCCAACAATGCACTTGATTGACTATACGCGAAACGTCCGCAGCGTAAGTGCGGCAACATCCGCCCACATAACGCACGCCTAGGTCCAACCATTCTTGGATGAATACTTCGACTGGCTCACACTTGTCGCGATCAATCCACCTGCAAATAAAATATAGGCTCTCAATAAGTGTTAGACAACATAATATTAGACAACATAACATAGGTAACATAGGTACATCTTCTATACATATTACAATAAAACAAAGTCGTTTACCGCTGTCTGTACTCTGATATCTACACAACGGATTTAAATGCGGATTTCAAGAATATAACTACAGACTGATTAAAGAGGAAGGTTCATATGTATAATATAGGACCATGCGGGTGAAATAGTGTCTTATTTAACTAGTTTATAAGAGGTACCTAAACCACAGTCGTTAACTCATTAAGTACGTCCTTATACATATTAAGTATGTTATATGCCAATTTGGTATATTCAAGATAGCCCCTTAACAACATCATGTTCAATAACCAAGAATAACCCTTTCAGCAAGACTCGGCGCGAGGTCATAAAGCTCGATTCACCCAATTTTGGACTTCATCAGAGCTCTAAACTGGCCGTCATCTAGTCCAGATTTTAATCCGCTGGATTATGATTTATAGTCAATTTTAGAGGGTAAAGCGAGCAAGCTTTAAATGCCATGATAATTTGGAGTACCTAAAACAATCCATACGATTGGCAGTTATGAATTTTTCTATGTGGAGAGTGCGTGCGTCTATTGATAACTGGCCTCAACATTTAAAGGATTATATTGTAGCCAATGGAGACCTCTTCGAACAAATGCCGGTAGGTAATATTTACTTTCAATAATATAAATGCTGATTTTCTATGTAATAGTATTTACGGCCAGATTAAGTAAATAATTCATTAGTTGCTCAAATCCCAAATTAAGTAATTTTAGCACTAGTATAATGAAAATCTGAAATAACAAAGGCGACACAAATACCCAGATAATATAGAGAAGTTACCCCACACCTTAAAATTTGTGTGCGAGACACTTGGTAACAGAGTCGATTTCACAGAACACAGATGGAAACAATAACGGATGTTAATAATAAGAAACTTATTCAAATTTTACTTCCAAGCCTTCAAATCTTTTTTTTTTTTAATTCTACCACCTCGTTAAAATATACATATGCGTATCTAATCGTTGTTTTTTTAATTAAACAGACTAATAATTATTATCACTGATTAAAATCCTTTGTACATGTGCAGGGAAACAGAATAACACAATCAAAATGGCGTCTGTAATAAGGTGAACTGTCACGCATAATATACCGTGCACGTTATCTAGAATACAAATGTAACTACTCCAAGTAGGCACGTACACTACTTACTACCTGGAATGTGAAAATGGCTGTTTGCCCTCCAATCTTTGGCGACTTATCTTAGTGCGTAATCTTACCCTATTTGAGGGTTGTATTTTTCTCCTGAATTGGGGTAGACGATAAGTGGAATAGGGGAATGTGGCCGATCGTCATTGAATCCTTTCACTAGATTCGACACGAAGGAGGGTGCACAGCAGTTGACTCCCACAGCGACCAGCTGATCGGGATTCGTTTCCCAGCATTTTTTCGCAACTTTCTGGAAGCTCTCGCCGTGCGCTATACTCTGATTATCCTGTAACATAAGTAAATTATGGAAGCCCGTTGATAAAAGTCAGTTAAGTACGTAATCTATATAAAGTATACGATTTTTATACACCTTCGTTGTTGGTCGTTGGTTGTTTCAATATGGACGTGAACCGTTAATCAAATGCAACTGCTTTTAAGTACTCGCGTAAGTAATATGGAAAAGAATTATCTAAAATATTCATCTGTCTAATAATTATTTATCATTCTTCCATATTATAAAGCAAAGTAATACGATTAGGCAGTGGTTGGCGTTTCCTAACTGCGACACAAAGGTTAAGCAACTTTCACACGGGACAACCATTGAATGGGTGATCAAATATTTTTTTATCACGAGCTTTCCCTTGCTTCCAAAAGCATGATAAACTGCCGGTCCCGCTTATATACCTACCGCACAGAGCCCGCATAATGGGTTGTGGCCCTTTCTCTCTGTTGGATACAATTCATAGGGAAGTGATGTCCCCGATAGTGGGGACATTAAACGATACGACACTGGTTTGGTAAAGAAACTTTCACTTTTCTTTTAATTACCTATCGGCATTTGTTCATTTTCGAACTCTAAATAAGAAAGTACTATTAGTTTCCATATTATGAAGCCATTCATCTAAGGTATAATATAAAAACATTCAAAATGGCAAAACTCATGGCAAAATTCGCATGTTTCTTCACAAGGAAATACAAAATATGAACTCTAATATGTGTTTCATCAACAAAACTGATATTTACCTTTACCTAGCTACGTATATTCTTCGTAAAAATAAGAGAGCAAAAGGACACACTGCGTAATACTGACTGTGCAGGATTTGCAGGTATCGAGCGAACGAAACTAAAATTTGCGGATCCCCGAGGATTCGTCTATGATTGTAGATAGAGAATGATAACTATCCACTATTCTCGGCATAGGCATAACTACGACAACCATAACTACCGACAACCATGACAACCTAACGACAACCATAAAAAATCGCAAAAAAATAATGTAGTGTCACCGATTAAACAGTGTACCTAACTTTGCCAAAGACAATAGAAACTGCAGGTTCTGCTGGTCTGAAAAATTTTCTTCTTTTAAATAACACAGGCTCGTGGTTTAAAGAACAAGCTTTTTTTTTGGGTGCCGCCCCCTAAATTCGAAGGCCAAATCAGTTGTTTAGGTTGTCTGGCCCTGTATGCAGGCATCGAATATTTTACCTGTACCTAGTACTCACTGTTTTCTTTTATCTTTCGATGTTTGACTGACATTGAAAACTCGACGGAATGTGTTACACCAAAAATGACAACTTTCAATTGAACAAGGAAATAACGTCTAAATTGATTCGTTATAAAGTATGAGAAATTAATATAACATTTTTTAAAGGTTCTGTTACATCCAAAATATGAATTTATAAAGCGTCATATTCATAAAAGTCTTTGATTATTGTGTTCTTTTTCCGATCATTTTGAAGTTTCGGGATAATGACTAATTTAATTTTGCCTGTCCATCAAGTAGATTATTTAAAAATATTAAACACGTATGTTTTGCGTAATTAATAAATTACGGCGACACATTGACTTGAACTTGTTACATGACATCACATCTTTGTACGTTTTCTCCAGGTCTATAATCTATTGAGCCACCATTCCTCAACTTTAAAGCCCATTAGTTATTTCTTGTTCGGATATTTATCTTAATCATTTCTTGGTAAATTGAAGCAAAACGTATCTAATATTTTTCTATTGTCTGACTGACGAACTAAATATACAATACAATTACGTGCAATTGCAGGAACGCCCATTAAGGTTTAATGACAAACTAGAGCTCTAATGAATGTTCTAAATTTGAAAATTTATACATCAGTAATATCTCTTTAAAGTAATGGAAATTTTAATGGACGTTTGTGCAAACTGAGTGTTTGACTTTAAAACAAACCTTGCAACTAAAAGACAGCCAAGCTTTCATGCCGGGAAACTCCTTAAGCAGATCGCAGAGCATCTCGGCCTCTTCCTGACAAGGGATAGTTTCCAGAGCCAGTAGATCCACGCCGGCTTCCACCAAAGCTTGAATCCGAGGCAAGTGCCACTCTCGCATTGTCTGAAATAAAAATGAAACTTTAAAATTATAGAAAAACATAACGAATTAAGCCGTTAAGTAAAATTAAGTACAAAGTTCTCGGAAGTTCGTATTTTGAGAATTCTAATCAGGTTACATATTTATTATATTGAATTCTTATTGTTTGACTGTATGTATTTCTGTTACCTTACAATATTATTAATGATCGGATAATCATAGATGATTAATAGTGTGAATTTTCTTTGCGCGCACTATGATAACTCTCTAGAGATTTTAATATTTAATATTTGTGCGGTAGCCTCTGCACGCGAGTTCGACTCGTTCTTGACCGGAATTGTTTTTTCTTAATTTTAAAGTTATTTAATGAAATTAACCTTAAAATACTATTTATGAAAAATATAAGACAACTTTACATACATTGCTCAGATTTCAAGAGCTTAAGCCCAGATGAGCACCACAAGACCCAGACTCTAGACAATATAGTAAAGCTAATTTTCTACATTGACTTGAGCGGGAATCGAACTGGAACCTCAGAGACGGTGACATCTTGAAACCGGCATGTGAACTACTCGGCTACGGAGGTTGCCTTTTTTAACATTAATAATATTACTACGAGGTCTTAACCACATTTTACCTATTGGAAATAATACTGAATACAACCAAATACTACTTTAGAATGAAAGTTTTTCGTGGGATTGCTACCGTGTTACTTAACGTACTTAATGACCATGAATGTGTCATAGGACGAGTATAAGAAGTGAATAGTTTTCAGTAAATAACCGTAACGCACCGCTTTGTTTTACTTATTCAATAATCTTTATTCATTTCTTTAAAGATTATTGAATAAGTAAAAAAAATCTCCTGCTGATTTTTACAGAAAGAAATGCGCTTTCAATTATATATAAAATCATAAACGAACCTATTGGGAACAGATGGAAAATTCTTTAACTTTCTTCTGCAAGGAAGTTTCACGAACTGAAAACCTTGAAGCAATTTCGTATTTTCATTTCAACCTTCGAAAGTATTAAAATTTTGGCACGTTTTCCGTTAAAAGTATTCGGTGATGTAGAATTTTGTGTAAGCACGATCAATCGATACTTTATTAAACATGTGACAGGTTCGATGCTTAGGCAAATGAATAAAAGGCTGACTAAGCTTGAAATTTTGATTACTAGATTCAATTTTATTAGAGGATAATAAGAAAAACTGTCAAAAAACAAAAAAATAATATAAAAAAGTTCGATGATTACGAAATAATATAATTAAAATAGTTAAATTGAACAAATACATTCTCCATTTCTGAGTTTCTTTTAGTAGATATTCACGAAATTATACGTTTACGTGTTTCTTATTTAAATTGTAATCCTATTATCCTATTTATTTATTTATTATATTATAAATGTGAAAGTTTCTTTGTTTGGATGTTTAGATGTTTGGATGTTTGTACGTCAATCACGCCGAAACTACTGAACGGATTTTGATGAAATTTGGTATACAGATAGGGTGTTAGCTGACTTAGACTTTTTATCCCACTAAACATTTCCCTAGGGTCCACGCGGGCGAAGCCACTGGCGAAAGCTAGTAACTTTAGAATTATTAGATTTATATGATTGAATTATCATGTTCTCACCAGATGTTTTTTTTTACTAACTGACATTCATAAAGAGCATATTTGATTAGTCAAAATTTCAAATTACGAAAGGTGAATAATAAAAATAAATGATGTTGGAGATCAAAGTAAAAAGGTGACATGCGGATATCTAGGATGAAATAAATGGTGGTACCTACAGCGCACCGTTACAAACATATACATAGGTAGTTAATGTCGACAGGTATTTCAATAATTGATTTTGGGAACAAAAGTATTTAATAAATTAAAAGCAACCGAGATTGCTTCACATTAATTAAATTTCCTATAATTATCAGATATTTAATTATACATTGTGGTCAACCATTTTATTTGCAGATATAAAATGGTTGACCACAATAATAAAACTTGTGTCTCTTGAAAGGGCATATTCTGCAGTGTTATTCTGTAAAATAAAAAAAACTGCAGCTTTGAACGCACTTTCCATCCAACACAGCGCGTATTAGAAGGTCGATCATTTAAAACCTACTTCAAAAGGTAATAAAGGTTTTATTTGATTGATCCTTCAGTTTTGTGGCAGCGTTGTGTTCGTCGTTTTTACAGAACACTGACCTTGCCATTTTTTATACTCCATATTTGTTTTTAATAATAATTTGTTCTAGGCTTCGTTAATTAACTGTCCACCCCAGTCAAATGCTTTCGGATGAAAAAAAATACGAGGAACGGCGAGGGAGTTTTTCATATTGTCGATGTAAATTTTAATTTGCCGACAACTTTACGGCCCTCTTTACGATTTAGCTGCCGCTTTCAACCTTTATTAGGCTATGCATTCATGGCGTCCAGAGTTCAGTAGAGGCAATCACGATACTTAAAATGTTAATTAAAAGGACATTCAATCTTAATTCAAACTGTTGATAATATTATATGAGGTTCGTAAGTAACAACGAAGTTTTAATATAATCATGACTGATTGATAAATTATAGCACAGAATATTACCTGTAAAGTTGATGCGGTATACACATGGGATCGATGATAACTCATAAGCTCGGCATCGTTAAAATGTTTTAAACCTCAACTAATGCTCAAGTAACTGGATTCATTTGAGTAATATGAGAAATTATATCTTGAAAAGTACAGTTTAAGCAGATTTATATGGGTGAAAACGTATTATAGGTTATAAGTGCAAAGTGTCACTGACACTTTAGGTGCACTCGACTTGACTTTATTGAATCTATTTAAGTAGAACTTAACTAAATTAACTAATAATTTAATAGAGCATTATATTAGAAAAAAAACTTTAATTTCCATATTTACATAAATATTGATGTTTTTTAATATCAAACACAAGAAATAAACAACAAAGTTTTTTCTTTTTATATATCTAGTGTCCGACGGAAAGTTTGGTTTCAATCGAGTTTCGGCAAAAAAAACGGGTTTCGTGTTTTATTAAGTGGTATGGCAGAGAGAAGGTAGTAAATATCTACAAATAATTTGATATGTTTAAGAAGCTAATAAGTACATATATTATAGTATAACCCTGTCTGAATATGGCGTCGCACGGCCGCCATGTTTGATTTTCTTTAACGTCACTATCTAAGAACACTTGGACTGCTAAAACATAACTAAAGATATTTCAATTATGTAAATCTGTTTAGCAGATCTGGAGATATTAGGTAATAAATTGCCAGTTGTACAAACATCCATTACATTTTTCATCAGTTTAAAGCCTCATTACCCATGCAAATTTTCAAAATTATAACATTTATTAGAGAATTATTAAGCTGTAATTGATGTTTGTGCAACTGGCAGAAAGAATATTACATACATATAAGGAAAGGATTTGAAAATACAAAAATTCTTGCGACTGAACAAAGGTTCACCCCTAGAATTATACGCGAGGCTATTGAAATTAAAAAACACCCGTTTTTAACAGAGATGAAGGTCGGCATATACCGCCGTTTGGGATCCAGTAATTAGTCAAATAAAATCTCAATCCAGATCACACATTGCAAAACGAAAAGATACAGTTAGTTAATTCCGTTTATAATAAATCAAAGGAGTTTTTTTCGCCAGTTCTTCTCAGACAAGACTTCCAAATTTGGAACTGGTGATAGATTACGGTAGCCAGGGGTAAATAAATAGGTCAACCGTGTTTTTTAAATTATTTAATTTAATAAATGTGAACGTTTCATTAACATTGTATTGTTAATGTGTTCAATAGTATTATTTTGAAAGTAACTATACTCTTAATTAAAAGGACAATCAACACTTTAGTTTTATGTGAACACGGAACCTGTGAAGGGTCTGAGACGTCAATAAAACTAAATACAAACGTGATGAAACCGTTTAAACCTTGTTTCATTAATAAAAGATACATGGGAAAATCCTAACCCATTCTTTGCATTTGAATAATAAATAAAGAGCGACTAATTATAATAAAATTTTCTTTATTTTTCCCTCAAAATATTATCCTCGTAAGGAAACTCCGGTTTCGGTTTCGGTTTCTACCAAAACTGAGACTGTTGCTAAAATTCGGTTTTTAATCGTAAAAACCAGTTTCGGTCTGACACTGCCTTTAACAGAATAACACTGAATAACTACTTATATTACTTACATAACTGACGCAATATTAAATTTGAACTCACTGATTAAAACAAAATCGTATGAGATTTTATATTTATCTATTACAATTGGTACTGGTCACAAAAGGTCACAATTAATAATCAAATACTTTAAATATCCCGGATATTTTAGAATACCGTAACGAAATGAACCCATTTAAAATTTATCACTTAATAACAAGAAATTTTTAACTTCCAATATTTGGTGGATGCGATGAGACCCGATTTAAAATCATCCGATGTATCTGAAAATATAATTAATTAGGACACCGACAGAATCAGACCGATATACTTATTGAACCAATTTAGACATTTGAACGTTCTCAAAATATTCCATCCATATTCTAAACCCTGATAGAAAATTATGTGCTAATGGTAATTCAATAAATAACCGATATAAACATTTAATGACACAGATATTGTTATTAATGCTGTTGCGTAAATGCACCAACTACACTAAATATAAATACTTATAATACCAGGTATTAGAAGTATTTTATAATGCAGCGCGATACTTTAAAATTGACTATCATTAAATATAATTTTTATTCTATCAATATCCGTTTCAATTCCGTAAATAACTAAGGCAATGAAAGTTAAATATTATAGTATGCCGAAGTATATTTGTTTGATTATATGAATAACGATAAAACAAATCGAAATAAAAATTATATTTCTCATCATCTTCAGCAATTACATCAATTAGGAACATCTAAATATATATAACTCAAAGGTGACTGACTGACATAGTGATCTATCAACGCACATACTCAAACCACTGGACGGATCGGGCTGAAATTTGGCATACAGGTAGATGTTATGACGTAGGCATCCCTAAGAAAAGATTTGGATAAATTCCACCCTTAAGGGGATAAAATAAGAGATTAAACTTTATTTCAGGTTTTCTACACGATATATTGAAAAAATATTCGTTAGAAATGCTGCTCAGAGTAACTTCCGCGGATAAAGTCGCGGGCATAAGCTAGTTAATATATATTCCCGTTTCTGGGACACAGGGCATCTTAAAGATAGAATCGAATCTAATGGGGAGAAAGGGACCAAAGGCTACAACGCGTGGATTGGTGGGTGTTAACAACTGCAGATGTAGCGGAAACTATTGAAAAAAACGAGCTTTCATAAGTTAAGGGAACATATGAAGTAAATTTTTGGGCACCCATCCTATCTATGACCGGCTTTATGGAAGCTGCTTTAGTTCCGTATCATAGATCGAACGCGCTAATCACTGTGTCAGTAAGTTCCGCTGAAATTACTTTCTTAAATAATTTAGAGAAAGGCATAAGGAAATTAGCACCATTATAATACCGTACTAGTATAATAGCGAGATTTGAGTATGTAGGTTGCGATTTTTGGGGTGTGATAAAGGCGAAACCTGGGGGCCAATTCTACTAAATAAATTTTGTTTAAATCGAATCGAAAACGGATCGAAGTAAACAATACAATTCTAGTTCTATTTTAGCTGGAATTGTATCGTATGTCACTTCGTAGAAAAGGAAAACCATTAAAAAATGTAGTTTAATTCGTTTTCGATCCGTTTTCGATTCGATTTAAACAAAATTTATTTAGTAGAATTGGCCCCAGCAATCCGATGTAACTCTCTAGCTACGACCATTTACGACTGCAGTCATAGCTACAAACACGATTTAATGAATTCATCAATGTGAGTCTCTATATTCTTCTATAATGTTTTTAATTTATTTAAATATTTAATTTATGGTTTTCATTGCGTTTATTTTCTGAACTATGTTAAAACTAAATTGAAATATCATTAAAATTGATGATGATCACAAATGACAATATATAAATAAATAGTCATCACATATATTGCTCAGATTGCAAAAGGAGTAGCTAAAGCTCCCGTTTTATGGTATGTATTATCTGAGACATCACAAAGACCCGAGACAATACACCCGACTGGTAATCGAACACAGGACCTTAGAGATGGCAACACCTTGAAAAACGGCATGCGAACCATTCAGATATGGTAGTAATTATGTTTGCAATAGTACCCAAATTGCCGAGACTCGAAAGAGAAATATCACAATCCCATAAATAACTATTACTCAAATGTTAACGACATGTAGGTTTTAAATAATTAGTAACATAATAAATTACAGTTTTTCTATAGTAATAAAAAACATCTAACATATAATACAATGGAATGATTCATCCACTCTTGGTAAGTATGTTTAGGTACTAAGCACACAACAATGTAGTCACAAGCCTCGAATAAAATTACTAATCGTTTCACAGTCTGCAGTAGGTAGAACTAATAGCGAGCTTCATTTAAACTTGTAAAGCGGTCTGTGTTCCACTCGGCTTTGTAGGTAGAGTCAGTAAGAAAAGTGGACGAAAGTTTCCAGCTTTATGACTCATAAAAATAACAATATATTTTAAAGAAAGAAATTCTACTAACACTTTACTTTTCTTCGAGTTTACTATAAAAACTCCTCTCCTATCTACGATTTTGAATTAAACTTATAAAATTGAATTAAATTTTGTAAAAGTGTCCGTTTTGCATGATTAAGGCAGAACTTTAAAAGTCTTTATTTTCAGACAATTAAGTCTATAAGAGACCTTAGATCAGTTATATGTAATATCTATCTCGTACTATTGTTCCTTAGTTGTCGTGTTGTTGAAATAAATAATGATATTCTGAAAGTATGACTATCTAACTTTTATTTCTCCGTGGTAAAACCAGTTGCGCATTAGGAGACTCAAAAAGTTAATTGTATCTTTAAAAATATACTTATATCCTGTGTATATCAAAAGCATATTCCTGGGATTTTCTGCTAAGCTATAATTTTACTTTTTAATTATCACGCATAAAGGTGATTCTGACTTTCAACATAAAGTGTATGCCAAACGAATAACAGTTTATGCCATTCACTTATCTGCTTGGTTAAAATTATGACATAAAAAGTGCTGCCATAACCAATTTTTTTTACTATCCACGTTAATTGTTTGCAAAATGGGTATTTACACCTAATTAAGTAAATCACGATATTTTGACTATTTGATAATGTTTTAAGGATTTTTCATTAAGATTGTTTTTCAGTATATTCCAAAATTAATCAAATATAATAATTTGTTACTTCTTCAGATAACATTAGCAAATAATCACAGTATCTATGTCAGTATAATCATTACTGCTGCCTCTACCATCTGTAATCCGCCGCACAGCCTTACAAGTGCGGGTGATTACAAGTAGCGGCATCTGTCTCTACTCTGACGTTGATCAAGTCATAGGTATCTATAAATACATAGTAATAGTTGTTAACTACACGCAAATTCCTACGCATATTACGAGATGGGTAGCAAATAACAGTTTGATTATCGCACGTGTCAGGTAGTAAGCTAGTGGCGTAGTACGTAGCTATTTGTAAACTAGAATAAATTAATTATATTGTTTTGTTATACAAGAATTTATAAGGATTATTAGGATTACTCGGGTGTCTGTCTGTTTCATTCTGACAGTCACAGCCTTTCCTATTTCCTAGGTTAGAAAATGTAAGACATTTTAAAAACAGAAATCACTTTTTAAGAAAATTAAAGGGTTTATTGAGAAAATATTATAAATATAATTCCAAAATTAAGTACATATAGACCACTTATTTCCGAAACCGCTAGGTTTAAAATTTTGTAAACACTGCAGAAAATAATCCTTTGCTCTCAAACCTATAAGAGGTCTTATTCTTTAGTCTTATACCCAATAAGTATATAACTATAAATGAGGCTAAATGAACTAATTAGAAGCAATAGTAGTTTTTTTTTAATTTTACTAAGTAAAAAGCAAAACATTAACTATAAAATAAAATGACAAGTCTTAAAATCAGTATTGTTAATAATATCTTACTATTTCAATATATATGTACAGAGAAAGAGAGATTTGGTTCCAATTACTAAAGGCATAAGCCATAACGAAGCAAACAGTAAATGATTATGCTTATCCATCGCTCTTATCTTGAATTATGATATTTATACAGAAGTTCTTTAGAAAAGAGTACAACTTCCATGTTTCCGATTTTACCATTTTTCCCGGAAACTTTTCTAATTTGTCTTTCTTTCCTTAAAAACTTTGAATCTCCTTTGCTTATCGACAAACATCATTAAATGCTTTTTCGTAATTTGCCATAGTATTTAACGGGAAACTTTCTACAGATAATAACGTAATGAAATTCTAAACAAGAAATATCAAAGGAGCATTAAATGCAGTTTGAAGCAAAAGGAGAGAGACATATTTGAATATATTATGCAATCCTTCAGCAGTATTAAAAGGCACACGGCTACTTGAATAAAATGAAATACCAACAACATTAAGGATGCATTGCAAGGATTTATGAATGAATCAAAAGAAGACGGAGGAAAATGAAATAATTTAGTGTTTCAACTACATTATGCCTCCATTAACTTACTTTAATGATGTTCAAAAGGTTAAAATAGAATCTACTTTAATAAAATAGCACAAATTCTCACGGTCATTCCAGGGTCGTTTATTTTTATTAACCTGCGTTATAAATTATGTCTTTGTTAATTGAATTTCAATTAATTACTAGCTGTTTTCTCACGACTTCGCTCGCGTATTATAGCTTATCACCCGCGTATAATGTACCTTCAATTAAGTGAAAGAAAAATCGGGTTAATAGTTTCGGATTGTATTCAAGACAAACGAACAATATTAAATCTCCTTTATAATTTAAGTAAAGACTTAAATTAAAACATATTGATATAAAAAATAAACATCCCTGATCTTTGAGAATCACCTCCCTTATTTGGTTGAAAAATAATATAATTTTCACCCTGAAGACAAATCAAGAAAGTAGAGCTGATATATTCATACATATGGATCTGGATGTACATCACGTTGAATGCATATCTGACTACGTATAGATATTTCTGGGTAACGCAAATACAGTAAATAATTTTAATTTATTAAATGTTAATTTTTATTTTTATTTATTATATCTATCTTACAAACATTGTTCTTAGTTATTAGTAGATATGCAATGCACCGATGGCTCAGTGGTTAGCGCGTCCGGTCTGCGATGTGGAAGTTTAGCAACTTTCACAAGGGCCGGTCATAAGATGGGTGACCAAATTTATTATCTCGAGCTTCGTAAGGCACGTTAAGTTATTGGTCGCGGCCGCATTTGCAGTCGTTAATACCCACCAATACGCACTGAGCCCTCGTGGTAGATTAAGTTCCACAAAGCCTGTGTCCCAATAGTAAAATGGGCTGTAATGTATTCTCTGTTTAGATTATCGTCTCCTAAGGCAAAGTATAATGATAAAAAAATACCTGAGTGCTTGTAGTGTCTGCGTAGCTGCCATCATACTCAGAGCCGTCGTGTAAATGAGCCCCATAAGGTCCTACAGACCCAACAACTAGAGGTGAGTTGTCTGCAATAAAAATCAAATATATATTATCATAGGTGAAAAAATTTTTCGCATTTTCCCACTAGTTCACATGTTAGTTCAACCGCTAATGACCACCGAACTAATGAGACTTTTATTCTCAGAAATTCATTTTTTAATTGAATCATATATTTATTCTTTTAACGGTTGAATTACTGGGAACAAGGAGTTCCAATATGAAGAAGTACTAATATATTTTTTTTTTAAATAAGAACATATAATATTTAAAATAAATGTTATATATACCTCTATGAAAAACACTATCATGCGTTTGACATTTGTTTATTGTATGTCATATAATTATTTCACTAGTAAACACTAGTCATCGTTCATCTAGGATGACGTATCTCAGTAACAATAAATAAATAAATATCAGACAAATGGAAGGTATTCCTTTAGATTCCGAGTTTAGTAGGCCTAAACAACTATTCAGAGCTGAAACAGTAGAGTTAATTTTCTTTACCTGATCGGAAACCCGAGATCTCGGAGACTCCTTGAAAATGGCAAATGAGCAACTTGACTACATATTCGTTAAAATGATTAATTATTTTAACTAGTTAACTCTTTAGAAATAGTTAAAACACGGCAGTTTATTTAATAAAAAAACTTACAGACAAAGAGGAAGAACTCATTTGTCAAAAAGAGTCTATAAGTAAGAAAAGACTTAATTCAATTTGTAGGAATAAAATATTGCACATGTAATTTAGAGGATTTATAAAATCATTTTATACATGAGGCTCTGAAGGACCCCTCAAATTTTATTTTCTTAACATCCACGAATGCCCATTTTTAATTCGTTAACTTAAGCCGACCGCTAAATGAGAAGAGTAGGTAATGAGGTGTGAATTCGTTTCTTCTGGAATTCCTTTGTGGGAGCTGTTTTTAAGTGATCCAAACGTTTGGTTGAAATTAGAGCATGTTCTTTTAGTTTTACTTTTGGTAAATATATAACTATTAAATATCTACAATACCTACATATCAATGAGTGTTTAATTCTAAAAAAATATGAATTCTAACAAATATTATATTTTCACGAATGATATTACAATAAAAAGGGTTGATAGGTCATATCACTACTAATAAGATGTCAAAAATTGTCCTCAGCATATACACACGCACATGAGTCGATACTCTCCAATTATTCATAGACTATAATTGAACATGTCACAGACCAGACGTATAGTGATTTAATGCATGTTTAATGACTACTTTTACATAAATGAGTTAAAGACTTCGATCAACAGTTCAAGTTAAAAATGTTGATGTCTAACATTATTATTTCTCCTTGTCGTTAGTGTGTATATTATTTGCCCGTGTATAAACAACGAAGCTCTTCAAACGAGAAAATAAACCTGACACTGATATATATATGTATAATAACACGAAGGCTTCGATCAAAATCTCAAACGGACTATTTTTTTAGCTCCGGGGTTAGGTTTCGATGCTCCGAATTCAAAGCCCCGGAGTTTCAGAGTTTCAGTGTCATATAGATTTTCAAATAAATGTAAGGTAGAGCGCAGGCACTAAAGTCGAATTTTGTCGCTCTGTTACTTACATAATCTTAGACGGTTCTTTTCCACAATTTGTAACAGGAGTATACCACTATTTCTTTTTATGACACATTATTTATTTTTCTTATTAAAATGCAAATCAATTAAAATTGTATATTTTTTTATTCAAATACAATATCTTCAAAAACTTTTTCTCTTCGTATTGTGATATCTATATTCGTTAACTGTTCTTTTTATTGTTTTTACTAATACTAAAAATAGACTAACTCCAGCTAATTACTCGGGTTGCGAACTGTTTTATCTTTTCTTATTATTATTTTGCACTAATACTATAACTAGACTAACTCCAGCTAATTACTCGGGTTGCGAAATATTTTCAATAAACAGTAACGCCTGGTACGGACAACTAAGTGTTTTATGGGAAACAATAACGGCCTCGTTGATGTAATTGTGGCCAAATATTGAAGAGAAGCCAAAATATGAAAGTTGCTCTTTTCTAAGTCGATTAATAATTGGTACATTCATGATCTGTTATAATCAGTAGATATATTTTTTGTTTGTTTTTGTCAATTCTTTGAATATCTCTTTGTCTTCGCAAATAGGAATTAAAGTATCTATTATTAAATGAATTAAAATGTTTGTTCGATTGACAGAAGAAGAATAATCATATTTATGCGTTCCAAATTTTAAAAAAGAACTGTTAAATATCATATTACTCGCTAGTATAGTAATAAATAACACTGAAAGATAAATATATGCTTATTAAAATAAACATCATAAAATAGTAGATATTTTGAATAAAAAGGGTTAAAATGACACCGAAAGCTAATTTATAACTTATTTTAGCAAAGGTTTATAACTCCGTGGTTTATAACCTTTCACTTCGATTGCGGTGAATATATTACCAATTCAATGTGATTTAATAAAAAAAAACATAGATTTCGCGCAAATGCTTTTTTTATTTATTGATAGTCTATATATTTTACTGATAGTTGGACATTTATTTCGATAATTATAATGTTTTTACATTATGGATATCCTCTAAGCATACAATGTTAAAGTATCTAAAGCAAACAAATGATAGCTCGAATTAAATTTCTATAGGTTTTCATTTGTAATGTGAACATAACCTCTATTTTTCTGTTCTGTGAACACAACCAAATAATGAATTAAGACCATTAAGGCAATGCACGTTTCTATCCAATCGTCAAGATCGCCGCTAGCAGTTCCATTTTCAAAATGTTCTTATCCTTCAAATAAACAGTTTTACCCTAAGAAGATAAAATGATAAAATGCAATCTTAGCTTCGCTTTAGTACCCCTTTTTGAGCAAGGGAAGTGAAAAAATATTTTAATTATGATATGTTCACGCGTCACCTAGTTTCGGCGTATTTTAACTACTATAGATGTACACGACGGTACCTTTCTACCCTTGCAAAGTAATTAATGCGTGCTTGCACCCGACCCTCGGGATGCGGGTCCGGGAGACTTTGTTAACACGAAAATGCAAACATTCTTGAAAATTTATTAATGTTAGTAATAAATTACATCTGCGGTGCAAGTTTACAGTTGTTCTCAAATATATTCATGAAGGCGAACTGTGAAATCAACGAATTCTGTATTATTGTTACAAATTACAGTCTTATTGATATAAGTAAATTAAAAAAATGCGTTGTTAATCCCTTAAAAAATTATTGAATACGAGGTAAGCATATTTATTTATAGTAATTATTTATGTTAAAATATATTAATTGTTTATTACGATTAGAGTGGAGTGTTCATTATGGATTTTACTTCAATTTCAACATAGAAAATTACAACAACGCATTTGCTAGCCTTATATTGCAAATGTTCTAATATTATGTCAACTATTATTATCATGATAATGTTGTTTTCTTTTAATTTTTTTATTGATAATAGACATACAGTTATTTTAGATAACAGTTATTTTTAGACTGCTGTCTTAATCACAATGTATTATTCAGGAAATTGGCAATGAAAAACCTATTAAAATAGATCCCATTATAAAATCAACGTCTAAAAACACAAGAAGCATTGCAATGTTGGCTTGGATAAATGCTCTACATTATTAAGTCCACAATATTATTCTCTTTGCCGATGTAATGGGATTTTTAATCCTAATTGAGAGGATTAACTCCGATTGCGTTCAGAGGAAGCTACGCAACGGGTACTGCTTATTTATGAATTCACTTCGAATCCAACGCTCGGGGTGTACAACCTCGCCAGAAATCAACCCGCTGATCCCAACATTTCCCGGGCAACGAATAAATAACACAATTGTACAGACGATTACACTGCCAGTGTCGACTTGGCACTTAAGAATTTAAGAACGTAAGTGCTATATTTTTTTCTTTAGTATCCTTTTTTTTAAATCCATTGTTATTACATTGAAATGATGAGATGTTCCATTACAATGAAAGGTTTGAAATTGATTCCATTTGTAAAAAATGTAGAGTGAATTTTAGTAGTAAAATTTCTTAGAATTTAAGGACCGTTTAAAATTCTTTTTTACTATTTACTTATACAAATTTATTATTGTGATAATTATTAAAATATTTGCTTATTGAAAAACTTTTTGATCCTCATGAAAATTACAAAATTAACGAGTAAAGACTGTGGATCTTGGACGTAAAATTTTCAAATTCTTCAAAGTTTTCTTTTCTACTAATAATAATTCTTACCCCATGAACAATATTTTGATTTGAATATATTAAAGGCGCCTTTTGGTACACAAAGAATTTTGAAATAACAATCCAATTACCATTTAGAAAGCTTTGAGATGGCAATCGGTCAACACGGAATTGAAACTAAAGGGAATGAAAGGGTTAGATTGTTTTTGTAACTTCCATTTTTTTTCTGTCATAATGTATTTTTACATTAATTTTGGGAGGTCCTCCAAAGAAATAAATATAATTATACTCAAGTGTACAAGAGTGGTTCATCTAAATTAATTATTTTCTATTTAAAGAGTCACTTAGACACTAAGAGTTGTGATTTTGATGTTATTTTCTGTCTTTTTGCAAGTTCATATTCAGGGCCGGCTCGTCCATTAAGGCAAACCAGGCAACTGCCTAGTGCGCTAGTATTTGAGAGGCGGCATTGAATTTTTCATAAAAGATATTTTATTCCGCTTTCAATTTATAGAAACAATACATATAAACCTGATAATTATCATACTCGTGGAATACCTAAATTATTGTATTCACTTTTTGTAATTAATAATTACAAATTAATATATTTATAAATTTATGGCGCAGCAATAGACCAGTATTATGACAAATAATTACATCATATTCTTAATTTGCCTCTAGTTAAATTAGAAAACTTCTAGTTAGTAAATATTTAGATACACTACACTAAATATGTTAAAATACACTGAGATAACACACCACGTTCAATCATAATTTTCAGGATCGGCGTGTCACAAATTTGCAATTTATTTTGATGTCACTTAAATTACCAACAAATGATTGGTCTGAAGCAAATATAAATCGAACCATATCGCTTAAATAATTTTTTCACATTACCATCGGCAGAATTCGTCTGCTAGGAGAATGTTTTTGATCGTTTATTTTAAACCAATCATTTTCTCGTTTACTCCACCGATTCAGCTAATAGGTACACGTATGAATATAATATATAACGTAAATCAAAGGGTAAATTTGATTATATTACCAAGATGCTTAATTTGGAAATAATAAATATTGATTAGAGATCTCTTTTTGTTTGGTAGTTAAAGTAATTAATCATATAGAATGCATTACATAATTTTTAAGACTTATTAGTATATATATATATATATATATATATATATATATTTAATATATTCACATGTTTTCTTATCCCGATCTATGCAGACCTATTATAATTAATAATAGATTATCATAGCAGCTAAATAATAATGAGGTGAAAACTTTGTAAATCAGTCACAGATGCTGTAGTTTCAAACGTTGGGTTTTAAATGAAAAATGATAAAAACATTAGGCGGATCATTTATCAATCTAAATATAAGCCAAATATCTTTTGAGTTCTGACATCAAGCTAAAACATGACTATGTGAAATTTTCACGACGAAATGTGAAAATTATAATGGAAATTGTTAAATTTATGATCCACTTCGTAGCCTCAATCATATGTTGCTAGGAGTGTTTTAAAATTATTGCGATACTCATAGTGTGCGAACTAATCAATTAACATGAGTATCATGAAACCATGATATCCGACCTCCGTAGCCAAGTGGTTCGCACGCCGGTGTCGTCAACTCTGAAGTCCCGGTTTCGATTTCCGGTCGGTTCAATGTAGGAAATGTACTTTTCTATAATGTCTCGGGTCTGGGTGCTGTGAAACCTTCTTTGTATCAGATACTCCATAAAACGGGGGCTTTAGATACTCATCATGGAATCTGAGCAATGTATGTGATGTTGTTTAACATTTATATATTTAATTTAATATTTATTCAATCTGGCAACTTCCACTAACCACTCAGTGTCTGCAAATATCTGCATGATTACTCTTAAACGTAACCTCGATCGATCGACAATTGTAAGGTTTCGTATCTACTCTTGATTTGGCACAGTGGCGCTAATTGTCACAATATAGCGTAGTAGTTGAATGAACTAATTGGCATTGAGTAAGTATTGAGACTGTTTCAATAGAACGAGCTAAGAAATTGAAATCGTCATTGGATTGGAATGAAATAGACATCGAGATTACGTTCAAGAGAAAGCGTGCTGCTGTGTCAAGTTGTCTCGATGGGTTGCACTTTAAGGACTAATGATTCTTGAGGATAATTCATTGAGGGCAAACCACGTGTCGTGTATATTGGTGACATTTGTCGCCGTTTATACATGTGAATTTATTTGAAATTTGAAAGTATTGAAGATACTAGCTGGGTGTTGTTAGAGGTTGCTATATGTATATCATAATTTCATCTGATAGAATTATCCTAACCAATATCTAAGCAGTTTTGCTGTAGTAGCAAAACTGCTTAGATGTTGGCATATTGAGAGAATACTAGAGAAACCTATATCGGACTCCGCTATTAAGCTCTATAATAAAGCCTTTAAATATAAGTTTGTAAAATTACTGATAAGGCACTTTGAAACTGACATGTCTTTAAAAAACAAAATTTCCTAAAAATAAAGAGAATAATATATACACATTATCATAGTTTCGCAGTTATATCAAATGGACTTCGCTAAATAACGCCTAAGTTAATAAAAGCTTTTGAAAAAAGGCAATTATTGCAAGTTTAGATCTAGTCAATTCTGATTATACAAAACTGAAAAATTTCTTCGTCATAAATCTTTGATAATATATTTTAATAGTTAATATATAGCTTCATAAATTAAAATTTATTCTTATTATATCGACTGTACTGTCTGTAGGTACAAGAGTGATTTGCAGCACCATTTTAAAAACCTCAGTACCTCATATACTATTATAGTGCAATAAAATAAAATCGCCCATTGTAAAGATAAATAAGGTCAAGTAGACGAGAAAACAGTCGAGCAGTTGAGTTTTTATGATTACGACTTCAAAGGGACGAAAAGCTATCTAAAGAAGGGTTTTAGGGCTATAAGTGGTATGTAAGAAGGCCGCGAAATCTAATAATTTAATTCACAATAAAAAATAACATATTAAAAAATGCTTATGAAATTAGTGTCGTAGGTAATGGGGGTAATAAAACGAAATGATGCTAATTCTGTTGCATCATTTTATAAGTTAAAACATTTAATTTTTTATTTGACTTATTTTTCATCAAACAAATATAACTCTTTTATAATATAATATTCAAGTTTTATTCTGTTACCTTAATAATTTACAGAATTAGAAACGGAGTTTGAGTTGTTAAAAACTTAGTCGAGTTTGTATAACAGAATTGAAATCAATATTATGTCGTGTTTCTCAAAAAAAGATGACTGATAATTATTTTACGATATTTTAGAAATATTTTGTCAGTAGAATAATAATTTTAATGTTGTCATACCATTTTGGACGTAGTCTTGATATTCTTCTAAGTAAAGAGTGCGCGCGCGCTTCGCAAGTTGCACAGCACGCTTGATTAGTTCATAGCTATCCTTCTCGTTCAGCCCAAGGTGCTCCTTAAAGCCCTCCAATGACGCCTGGTACGTATTCGTTATTACCAGGTCCGCGCCAGCTGTAAAAACATCAATTCAAATCGCAATTCCACTCGCATTAATCATCCAAAACAGATGTAATGAAAACGAATGAATCCCAAGATTAATGTTTCCAAATATTCGACCAATAATACCGCGCCTTTTGCTTCGTTAGTAATTAAACATGTCCTCAGAGTTCGCATTCGTAAACTACCACGATAAATATTACTGAACTTGAATAACCCCTAATATAACGGAGGCCCGGCGCTGCCCTGAGGCGTAAACAATTAATGTTATTAAAACTTAGCGGAGTAACACAAGCCGGTGCAGACCGACAGTAAGAAAACAAACTTCTGGTGGGAGCGTTGTCGAAGAAAATAATTACGTAGTAAATAGGAGACTGTGTACGGGCTGTGAATGGAAACGTATTAGGCAGACGCGGTGATTAATGACAGTGGCGCCTTGTGCCGTGATGTCGGCACCCGTTCCTTCGGGCTCTCCTGGCCCGGCCACACCCGCGCGCTATGCAAATGCGAGGTGGTTAACAGGCGGCGAATAACGCCCACACTTGCCAACTCGCTCCCGCCTCAATCATAATAATCGCACAGAAAGAGTTGCATCTCTCAAATTATAACCGCTATGCAAGAAGATTTCATTTTATCCCCTCATTTATTTTACGAGCACATTTCACTCTGAGACTCTATATCCAGAAATATGTCTTTCAATTTATTTTAAATTCTGAAAATGTAATGACCCTTATATTTTATAGGCATGGTTAAGGTGTCACGGTAACGTCTACAATCTCGCAAAATACATAGCGATTTTTTATATTTTTTCGTATCAAGTCGTGTACAAGAGAAAGCAAAGCGAGGCAGTAGGCTTTCCCCTCCAGGGAGTTATTTGCTTGTAGACACTTTTCAGCTTTTCCTTATGAAAAGAAACGGTCCGTTTTGTGGTGAAGAAAAGCGCTTTCAGAGGACGATGACACGAGACGAGGTCGCACTCTCGCTGTCAGATGCATGAAAATGACATGCTAAAAGCGACCTAACAGTAATCCGTCAAAACACGCATGTAGCTAAGGCAAGCTGCAAACGCGTACATAATATTGAGCTCATTCCTGTCGTCGCTACGCATTCGTTTGTGGTTTGCGTGTGCCATTCTGTAGGTGTGTCTGGAAATTCATTCAAACTTCGCCCGTGGAACGGGGAACAAAGCAATTACTTTGCAGTTCAAAGAGATTAGTTGCTCGTGACGTTGGTGAACAGGCACCATCCATCAGATTTCTCTAAATATCTGGGTACGACATTACAAGGCTTAGGTTGACTTTCAGTTAATTGAGTTTAGAGATGTTTTTTAAACATGTATTTTACAAATTGGTATAACGTTTAAATCATTTGAAAATTACCAATAAAAATAGATTTTTACATTGTACATTGAGTAAGTTGGAGAATATTCGAAGATTAATGAATCACGGCAAGTTATTTGATCAGTATTCTTTAAAATATCGCAAATGCATAAGAAATAAGTCAAATATAACTTAATTATTTAACATTATTTATTTTAATGACATAATAATGATTTTAATTATAATTATTTGTGGGTTCATTACCTACTAGTTCGATAGGTTTTGTTATTACAGAAAACATCTCATATTAACACACGGTATTATTATATAAGCCACGATAATAAATATTATCGGTAAACAGCTGCAACTACGTCTTACTTTGTGCAACTATTACACGTGTACATCTGGTGTATAAATAAATATTCGTGATGTACAAAAAGCAATAGAGCGACATTGTGCTCTATATATAAATCTTTCGCAAAACTTCGTCTGTTCGAAAATAAAACACTGTAAAAGCCAACTGAAAATGTTACACTTCATTAATTTTAATAGCATGCATGTCCAAAATTGGTTATGGTTGGTTTTCATACAAATTCTATATGCGAACATCCAAAACTGAGACATGTAATGTCTTTATAAAAATGGCATTCAGATTTTTATTTTGTAACAACTGCTTATGGTGTGTCCATAACCCGCTTTTGTTTTGAAGCAGTATAAAATAAACAGTATCTTTATTATGATGTTAAATCATCGAATGAACTATGGAGGTTGGTGGTGTTAATATCAATACAGCAATTATGAGATGTGAGGACACATAACTTTATGATTTTCTTACTAATGGTAGGTACAAAATAGTTTTCTAATGCTATAAGCAATTGGGTCGTTTTCACAAAAAGTGTACATTTGTGTTTCAGCCATGTCCCACTACTTTCGTATTTTTTTTAAAGTAGTATATCAACGTTCAAAAGCAACTACTGTTAAAATTAAAATCTATGGTTAGTTAATAACAAATTAATTAACGTTTTAGCTAATAAATACAAACCTGATACCTTATCTTTTTTTAAATAAACAAGTCATTGTCGGATTTACTGCTGTCCCGTAAGCAATTTCCTAAGTATAATGTAATATTAACGTATTTTTTTAACTCGCATTTCAATTATGTTTAATTTATTGGGAAGAATAGTTATGCCCCATTTCTTGTATAATTACGAAAAAAGTCTTACGTCGTTCAAAATAATTAAATAATTTTATCATTGAGAGGACATAAATCAGTCAATATGGAAAAATTCCCTTCCGAAACCGCATTTTTTCCGTGATGGTGCCATACAATATACCATTTTTGTTTAATTTTCTTCAAATGGCAACGTTTTTGATCATGTTGACTTGTTTCGATAAGATATTCGGTCAATTTGACGGCGACGAGCGGGCGAGCAACACTCACCTCCGAACGGTCCAGTTTCGATTTTCCAAAGCCGCAACCAATTTGAAAGTAAGATTACAAGTCCATTTCTTTCAAATTATTTCGATATCATTATTATCAATTACTGAACTTAATTTAGTGCGCAGCTTGTAGGTCTAATGTGTTTGTTTCAATTAAATAAAACAAAAGTCTTTTAGTTTATGCTTCCGATACTTCCGTTCCGTTACCAAAACACAAGTAATTTGAAAATCAACATATTTTTAATATTGTACACTTTTTGTGAAAATTACCCAATTATATAATAATATGAATTAATATGGGTACAATTAAGGCACGCAAAGTCTAAGCTTTATCTATACCATTAATCTAAATTAAATATAGTTAATGAATTAATAATATAAAGAGGAGAGATTTTTTTATGTGTTAACGTCCAATAGGCATCGAAATTACAAAACCGATTAAAAAAATAATTAATGGAAGCTACATCATATGCGGGTGACATATGCTGTAATTTTCGGGGGCTAAACTATTTTTTTTATTTTATTTATTTAATTAGGACAACTTACAAAACATACACAAAGTAACATTTAGTACTAGAGATAGTGGCTCAAGCAAGCGTGTTGTTTTAATTACAAGCTGCCACGACATGCGTTTAATAAATTAAATTAGGAAATAAACTTATGTGCAAATTACAAGCTATTTTACAAGAACTAAAAATGCAAAATATATTAAATTAGCTTATAGTTACCAATAACCTAGGTATCACAATAATTATTACATTACAACAACTTCAACAACTCACTTTTAAATTTAGGAAGGTTCAGTTTATAAAGGTCAAAATCACCTTTTTTTTTTTGACAAACTGTTGTAGGCATAAGGAATTCTTACAAATGGTGAGTTCAGGCCCAGATTGCTTCGAGAAGCCTTAAGGGAAAAAAGGGAGTATTTAGTTCTACGCGGGAGTTTTATAGGTATATTAAAAGACAAATTCCCCAGTAGGTCAGGACAGTCAATTTGTCCTCTCACAATTTTGTAAAGAAACATTTGATCAATAATCCGCCTTCGTTGTTTTAAAGGGCTCATGTTGAAATGCTTTAGCCTATCAGTGTATGAGCGGAACCATTTAGCTTTTTTAGCTTGGTATGCCAAATGATACATAAAACGCTTCTGCACCTTTTCTAATGTATTAGAGTGAATTTCATAAAAAGGAGACCACACTACGCTACAATATTCTAGACCGGATCGCACCAAACTGTTAAAGACGCAAATTTTTGATGATTCTTGCTTGAAATCTTTGCAGTTCCTGATTATAAATCCAAGACATTTGAAGCCCTTATTTGTAATATGATTAATGTGCTTGTTAAATTTGAGTTCACAATCCATGGTGACACCCAAATCTTTAACAGTTTTAACCGATGTTATAATCTTGTTTTGTAGTATGTAGTTGTTAAGAGCTGGTCTTTTACTTTTAGAGAAATGCATATAGTAGCATTTATCAATGTTCAGGGACAATTTATTGCTAACACACCACTCCTCTAGCCTATTCAAGTCATCCTGCAGGAGAACAGCATCTGCGCCTGAGTTGATAGTCCATGCGAGTTTGCAATCATCCGCATAGAGGTAGACAGAAGAGTTATGAAAACAAGATTTAATGTCATTGATAAAGATATTAAAAAATATAGGTCCTATATGCGATCATTGCGGCACCCCGGATGATACTAGGAAGGGATCGGATCTATATCCACTCATAACTACAGTAGAAGTGCGATTTCTCAAGTATGAGGAGCACCAATTTAGTAGGCTACCTCCGATTCCAAACGCTGACAGTTTTTCCACCAGGATGTCGTGGTCAACTTTGTCAAACGCTTTAGAGAAATCTGTATAAATTACATCAACAGGTAAGCGTTTGTCAAGACAGGATACCAAGTCGTTAACAAAACAAGTGAGATTTGTGGTGGTAGAACGACCACGAATAAAGCCATGTTGTTCTAAATTTATCAGTGGTTTTATGTGCCAAGATATTATAGGACATAATAGTGCTTCAAACAGTTTGGCAAAAACAGAGAGTATAGAAATCGGTCGGTAGTTGGAAGCCAGCGTAGTATCCCCAGACTTGGGAACAGGCACAACGAGGGCACTTTTCCATGTCGTGGGAAACTTACCACATGCCAGCGATCTATTGTATATAGTACATAGGGGATGTGAAATAAATTTAGCGCAATTATAAACAAAAAGAGATGGAACCCCATCCGCACCAGCACCTTTATTTTTATTTA